GAACTATGAAATTAGAATTTAAAACATTTTTTTTCTTCAATAAAACCTCTAGTTTTAATAGTCCTATAAACAATGTTTTAGGCTGCCTGCCGTGCCTGATTTTTGTTTTCAGGGGATGTAATTATAGTAGCTGCTTTTTCCTTCAGTTCTCATAGCACTTTCATTCATTAACCAATATCTGACATATTTGTCTAGGGTGAGGTTTGAGGTTTATTGGGTCAAGGTCAGTAAGACTATATTTATAAATAATGGTTTGCCTATGCCAAGGATTGTCCTTGAAATTTTTCTGAGATGTTTTTTTTAAATTTTAGGCAGTGATTTTTGGTTTTATCACATGCATCAAAGGGTGTTTTCTAAGTTTTGAAGTGGCTCAAAGTGCACTTTAGACATTCATTTCAGCCTTCAGCTGTCTCCTAGCAACAACCATGTATGCTGCAATGCATATATATATATATATATATCCATGCTAGTTCAAAATTCTTTTCAATTTGACATGACTGTTGCCAATTATAGCTTCTGAATCTTAGCATTTTGGTAGTGAAAATCTTTAAATTTAGGATAGCTGTTCCAAATTTAAACCAGGGTCAAGTTTATCATACAAACTAATTAGGGTGAAGGTTGATTAAGCTGTTTTATTTTTACTTGGCTGTATGATATTCTCATACATATAAGTCATAACTTTTAGTTTCTATTTTTAGGGACCATCATGACCAATATAAAGTAGTAAGATGCAATATTTAACCTTTTACCTCATGAGCATATTGTGAAAAAATGGCCGTTTTCATTGAAAAGCCTCTTGTTACTCTGTTACAAGTTCAAACTGGTATTAAACTATGAAAAATGCCTCAGTACTGATGAAACTTGGCACAAATGTTGACTGGACCATAGCCTCTGTAACAGCATGCTCAATCTTAAATTTCCTGTTACCATGGCAACGGAGCCGGGGACGTCTCAGAATTGTCAAAAATCACTATTTTGCATTGATTTTTTTCCCGTCAAAACTGATTTCAACGTGCTGCAACTTCTCAATGGATTGAGATAGAGTAAAAGGCCTTTCAGAGTTGGTTACACGTTACCCTACCATCACCCTGAGGCCATTTTTAGCCTGTCACATGTCCAAAATTTTCTTGGCAACCCCTTGATGTCATTTTTGATAGGGGGCGGCGTCGAAAAAGTGATCACTTTTTTTATCAACATTTCTCAAACAAAAGCAGTGTTTGAAGTCTATATAGGGCATTTTTTTCACCTTTTGAGGCCTAAAAGGGGGGGGGCATCAAAGGTCAAAACATATCTATATGAGGTAAAGGGTTAAAGATATACTGTACTCATTTTTAAGTCCAATATTTTTATCGCAGAAATTTATTGAATCTATGAAATTCTTACTGAAAATGTCTAATTTGAATAAAAAAAATGTACAAACTATGTATGGGAAGCTGGTACCTAAGTAAAGTTTGGTCCTTTCTTTAAAAAACTGCCAGTTAAAAAACACATATTTTTGTGTGAAGTCAAAACATGTTTATTTTATTTTTACAAAGAGAAAGTGTTGCAATTTTCAATATTTTTAAATATCAAATTTGAGCATAATATATCTTTAATTGTGAATAGAAGTTCAAAAATTGTAATTATTACTAATATAAGTCACTGAACTGTTTGTGGTTAAAGAATGCTTTTTTGTTATTTCTCAAATTTTTAACAGTTTAATGCTAATTTAGTAATTACAATATCATGATACATGTATTTGGAATTTATTGTTTTTAGTACCAGCATACTAATATTTATAGGTGCGCTCAAATGGTTATATGAAACAAAACAAAACAAAATTATTTGGAATGCAGTCAATTCATTTTGTAACCAGAGTATTCTAGTTTTTTACCTTGCCTCATTTTTTTAACCTCGATAAAGTAAAGTAACAAGTTACAATTCAGTGGAGCATATTACAATATAAAGTTTGTATGATATAAATTTGAGGTTTTTTATTTGCATGATCATTAATATAAAAAAAATGAGTTAAAAGTATTGATAAAATATCTCCACATTATTAAAGTTTACAACTTTTCACGAAGATAAATACTTTTTGAAGGGAGGGCATTATTTTCAGCTGAGGCTTTAGTTTGTCTTTTTAGATGTTAAACAGTTTCAAGTTTTGTCAAAATTTGGATACCTACACATGTCAATGAAGAATCCTATCTGCTGCTTCCCTGAAAGAAAGTTATTGTCTTCTAAAATCATAATGTTAAATGTTGATAAAAAAAATGACACATTGTTTATGAAATCATTGAAACAATAAGCAAAATAAAACTGAAGTTATCAGCAGTGAAAAAACATGGCATATTACTGACATTTTTATATATATTTATTGCAAATAAACATTTAACCATTTTTATTACAAAGTAAATGTTGAGAACTATTGGTACAGACCTTAACAATATTTAGTTTAACATTATATGGCTGCAGCTTATGTTTGAAATAAAAATGCACTGTAATGTTAATCTTTCCTGGAAACTAAAATAAAGCTTAAATAAGAACACTTAATGATGAGGGAAAAAATTGTTGACCTTGAAGATAACTGGGTAATTTTAACACAAAGACTTCTTATAATGATTTATTTTACTTGATTTGTCATATGCACTTAAATTTCCTTGAAACTATGTTATAGTAACCAGTGATGGTAACAATGGCAAATAATTTACATATTTTGTTTTAAAGATAGTCTAATTTCTTTATGAAAAAGGAAAATAATGAAATGAATCTAGATATAAACATGTAAACCTCATACTTGCAGGGGGCGGCAAAATCTAAATTTTGACTTACTTGCCCGTTTTTATCTAAAGCATTTCTTAAGTGGTCCATTTGATAATTTTTGATTATAAATAATTTTTTGAAAATTTTGATAATATTTTTGATAATAAATAATTTTTTGAAAATTTTTACTTGTCCGTAGTGGGACAACCTGGGCAAATAAGTACAATCAATTTAGCTGCCCGAGTCTTGTTGAAAATATGTTCGAAACTTAAAACTGGCCCTGTGTCATTTTGGCAAACTTCAGAGTCGAAAGTTTATTTGAAACTTTTATTGTGAGATGGGCATTAATATTATGTTAAGAAAAAAAAAAAGAGACCTTCTTTTCTTGTATGACCTTATTTATTTGCCATCAGAAAATCTGTCAAAATTTGAGTATGTTATTGAAGATGTTATATGATAACTTTATGGCGGTCATTGTTGCGTAAAATGATTCTTTTTTTACAATATATGATATGCCAATTATTTAATAGTTACACTGCTAAAAATCTTAAACGGACTTGCCCATCTTTCCATCTGGACAAAACCATTTATGATTTTAAAGGAAAAAAGTATTTATTATCTAAATAGTAAACATAGCAAATCCTGATCAGATGGCACAGACCAACTGATCTTGTTCTAATAGTCTGTTTTGATCAATATGAGCCATGTCACGACAAAACCAACATAATGGGTTTGCGACCAGCATCCGCGCAGTCTGATCAGGATCCATGCTGTTCGCTATCAGTTTCTCTACTTGTAATAGAGTTGGTAAGTGAACAGCATGGATCCTGAGCAGACTGCGCGGATGCACAGGCTGGTCTGGATCCATGCTGGTCGCAAACCCATTATGTTGGTTTTGTCATGACACGGCTCATATGGTATGTTCAATCACAGCCAGCAATCTAAGGTTTAAAGTAAAATTTTAATGTTGTGCTTTTGAAAGTAAATATTGTTACAAATATATAAATAATATATACTTGTACATGTGTTTTTGGTAGAGATGTTATAATATACAAACAACTGAAAGTACATGTAGCACTAGTTAAACTGTATGTACTAACAAAAAAATGCAATTGATGTAATGAAACCAAAGCTAGGGTATGAAATGAGTTTTGTTCTTTTCATTTGTTACTTAGAGGAAGTTAAATCTATCCAATTTTTTAATTAAATGGTTCTCAATGGATTTCAATCAAGTGTAAGTGAATGTAAACTCAGTCTGACTAAAGTTCAGATCTACTTTTTCTTACATGTAAATCTGATTGCCATCATAAATGTTTCGCTTTCGTTGCGATTTGGATTCTGGAGAAAGCTGTTTTTAGGCATGCAATCAAACCATCCTTTACAAAAGTATCAAAATATGTTGTTCATGGAAGTAAAACAAATTGTTGATCTTTGTTGGGAAAAAAATGTTTGAAGTAATTTTTAACAAATTAACTGGAAATAATAGACTTTTTTGAATTTTTAATGGGCAAGATTGTTTTGCCAGTTTAACTGCTTGCCATGTTTGTTCTTGAAATCATGAAAAATAGCCTACTTAGTATTGGTTTTCTAGCAGTTAAATTTAGAAACCGCAACGCTTTCAAAATTATGAAAGCTTGCGGATGATTTGTTGTTTAAGAGATCACAAGAAGGTGACAACCTATTGGTGGTAGTCAGATCCTAAAACATAGTGTTATTTTGGAGCTGATTTTAATCAGATTGATATAAAGTGTTATAGTTTTGTCTTTCTTCATTCTTTAAATTATTGTTTTATAACTCTACACTCGGTAATATTTCTATATTGTACACTCAGTAATGTTTCCCTATTTTAATCTCAATAATCTTTCCTTTTTGTACACTCAGTTGTGGTTCTCTATTGTACACTCAGTTATGTTTCTCTATTTGTACACTCAGTAGTGGTTCTCAATTGTACACTTGGTTATGTTTCTCTATTTGCACTCAGTAACATTTCTCTATTGTACACTCAGTGGTGTTTCTCAATTGTACACTCTGTAACATTTCTCTATTGTACACTCTGTAAAATTTCTCTGTTGTACACCCAGTAAAGTCAAATTCACATTTGTAAACTCAATAATGTTTCCTTATTGTACACTCTGTAATGTTTCTCTATTGTACACTCAATAACATTTCTCTATTGTACACTCAGTAATGTTTCTTTATTGTACACTCAATAGTGTCTATTTTAAAAACTCTTAACTGTATTGTTTCTGTATTTTCAGACGCAGTATGGACTATAATGAGGTTGATGAAAAGCAGCCACACCTTCCAAAAGGGGCCTCGGTTCCCCGCAACCAGGTCGCAGGCCATAAACATGAAGGCAGGTCAAAATTAGGTATGTAATAAATTGTTTGTTTGTAGTTTTAGCTCAACCGGGGCAAAGTGCTATTGTTATATTCCTTTGGTTCTTTAAAATCATTGAAAAATTTTACGAAAAACAGTTTTATTGGAGTATAATTTGAAATTTATTTCTTAATTCAGGGTTAAGATATGTGAAATTTATATAAATATTAAAGTAAGAAATTCAAGATTTATCAAGTTAGAATGCTATGAAAAAATCCTACAGGAATTCATAATTAATGATTCCTCATTTATATGAAAACCTTGTACCTCATTGCACTCAGATTGTTTAAATTGTATTCGATTTAACTTAATTGTATTATTTACTGACATTTGACCTGTAATTACAAAAATGTATTGTAAAAATATTTAATTATATATTTAGATGATGTGTCGAATGATTGTAAGTCAAACAATAGTGTCATGTCATGTAATGTATAGGTGCCCAAATCATTGACAAATTTAACAAAACCCCCATGTAGAATTAAATCAAAACACCGATTATCAATGTAAAAGATCCTGAAATAAATCTGATGTACATAAATATTCTGTTATTATACATAGTTACTATTGGGTATACTATTTCGATACCTGTTTGTTTAATGTAATTAGACTAATGAGCACTGAAAACAATTCTCAATAGATATCATTAGTTTACAGGTACATTTGTAACTCGAGTCAACGAAATATAGTGCGTATATTGATTAAGAATTTTTACAGTATTTGTGTACTTTTAAAGTCGGGACAATATTGAACGTTTAACTTATTTATTGATTTAGTAAAGCACAAGTGTTATTCTGAGATCTGGTTAAACGCCCATTGACGTCATTGTCTCATTGTCAAAGTGTTTAGCGTTTTGTTCTATACTATCGGGGTAGTTATTGTATAAAGATGTGTTTTATCATTGTATTTCCCATTGATTTTGACAGACGGTTACCATATTTAATCTATTTATCTATTTCATTTGAATAGTAATGATTTTAGGCATGCCTGATTTAGTAAAAAAACAACAAAAAACCCGGTTATTTAAGGTTCTTACGTCACAGGACCTTCACCTTGGCATATTGTATAAGCTGTTTTCATTTCAAGGACTGATAACAAAAAAAGTTATAAATTATTTGAAATGATTAAGAAGATTCATTGGAGCATTTGAAATCGAGATAAAAATTATTTTTTAATGATTTTGTATACGTTTAAAAATTGAGATTAATGTGCAAGATTGGCCGGCTTTTGTTCTCTTGGGCAATAATAACTGAGTGAATGTAATGTAACATAGCTAGGCGCTGTCCTGATTACAGTCATGAAGATACCCATGACAATTATTTTTCTTAACAAAAAATGCGCTCATTTCACAAAAAGCAATGACAAAATATATAGTAATTCTTATTGAGAGACTGTTATAATTGTAAAGGATCAATTTTTTATGCCCCTGCCATGTAATGGCCGGGGCATATACAGTGATTTTCCTACATATATAACAGACTCCGAAAAAGGGCCTCTTCCCAATTGAAATTTTCTTTAAAATCATGCAGTTTTCCCAAAAATCTGAACTTAAACCTGCATTTTTCTTCCCAAATTAGCAATTTTAGCAATAATTTTTCCCAAAATCAAGAGGCTAAGGACTCTTCCCAATTAAGCGAGAAAAATCACTGATATAGTGTTACCCTGTTCCGTCCTTACGTCCTTCCGTCATTCCGTCCTTCCGTCATTCTGTCATTCCGTCATCATCAGTTTCCGTTAATTATCTTAGTAACGGTTGCACACATTCAATTCAAATTGACATATGGATATGTCATGAGAAAATACAGGACAAGTTCGAATTTGGTCATGGTTCAATGATTTTTGGCAGAGTTATGCCCCTTTTACTTTAAAATAATATGAAATTTTCAGTTTCCGTTCATTATCTCCCCAACGATACAACACATTCAACTCAAACTTGACATATGGATATGTCATGAAAAAATACAGGTCAAGTTTGAATTTGGTCATGGTTTGATGATTTTTGGCAGAGTTATGCCCCTTTTACTTTAAAATAATATGAAATTTTCAGTTTCTGTTCATTATCTCCCCAACGATGCAACACATTCAACTCAAACTTGACATATGGATATGTCATGAGAAAATACAGGTCAAGTTCGAATTTGGTCATGGTTCGATGATTTTTGGCAGAGTTATGCGCCTTTTACTTTGAAAATAATATGAAATTTTCAGTTTCCGTTCATTATCTCCCCAAAGGTACAACACATTCAACTCTAATTTGACATATGGATATGTCTTGAGAAAATACAGGTCAAGTTCGAATTTGGTCATGGTTCAATGATTTTTGGCAGAGTTATGCCCCTTTCACTTTGAAAATAATATGAAATTTTGTGGAAAGTTTGAATTTGGTCGTGGTTCAATGATTTTGGACAAACTTATCTTTCTTGAATGTTGGAAAAAATTTGAACTTTCAGTTTCAGCACTCATACTTTTGTGGAAATGTATGTAGCCATAATTTTGGCTACAAATATGAAATATGCTATTTTCAAAAGGTTAAGACTGAATAATTTCAGTGCTTTGAACATTGTATGAAAATGGTTTATGTTAACATTGAAAAGTTTTAAGGGCTTTGAACTGCAAATGAAAAAAATAATTTGTGCAAACAAATTTGGAACTAAATATGATAACATCTGAAATTTTGGCTGCATGCGGGGGCATCTGTGGCATGATGACACATTTCTAGTTTGTCTTAGTTTACAGTTATAGGAAAGCTTCATAACACTTTATTAATTTTTCTTCTGCAACAAATTTTCATCAGGAACTGATTTTCAGATAGTATCTTCTTCAGGCATAATGGCCCACCTGACCCTTAACATGCAGAATTTATGGAAAGGATTTTCCCAGCTTTGAATTTCTACCAGTTTGTTCAAATTTCAAGGGATTTCCGTATTACAATACAAAAATTGAGATAGCAACAGTATAGAGCCTGGTCATATTGCATGGTTGTTGATCCAGCTCGCATAAATAAACAATCTAAAGCTTCTTTATGACTTAAAGGAATCTCCACTGAGATTTATTGACATGAGGGGACTGGAGATATTTTTTCTGAGATTTTTGTACCATTTGATGTAGGTCTTGAATTTTTGTGTGCAATTTTCAGATCATTATTTCACCCAGTTTTTCCAGAATGATAATTTTCATTGTGCAAAATGACCCCAAAATGAAAAGCATTTAACACTTATTCAAATTATTTGACCTCATTGGAGCTCCTGTAATATGTTCAATTTATTATTTTTAATGAGTATGTACACAAGGTGTTAACATGTAAAATAATGTTTAACTTGTTAAAGACCAACATGTTAGTGCTTTGTCACTAGAATACTATGTGTGTTTGCGGCTGTTGGCAAATTGACATGATACCCCACCCACTCACTTTATACTGGCAGCAGACTGACTGTTTCCAGAACTATCTTCTTATTGTGGAGTAGCAAGAAAGATAGTGTGAAAGATACTAGTACCATATATATTTTCATCAGTACTTTAGTAAAATCTGGCTGAGATTAAATCTCATTGTTATAATCAGTTCAAATGCAAGTAAAGTTAAGGTACATGTACATTGCAAGAGCAGTGTTTATAAATAACCTATATTAAGAATAAAATGCCTAACTGACAGATTTTGAGCTTTACTGTGACCTATGTTTAAGAAGAAAATGCCTAACTAACAGCTTTAATGTGACATGGCGACAAATCCGACTCGCCGAGTTCTAGTTCCATTTAGGCGCCATTTGTATGGACAATACCCATTTATGGCTGTTGTGTTTCTTAAAAAGGAAATCGCATGAGTTTTTGTAGCTTGTAAGACATAAAATAAAGCAAAGTAATATTTGTTTTGAAAGGGCATTTATTTAAGCTGGTAAAAGACAGAAACTGTTAAAGTAGCAAAATGTGTTTATCTTAACTAAGGAAACAAATTACCTACCCCTTTATATATTTTATTTACAGAATTATAACCAAGATTGCGCTCTAAGATTTATGTTATGATGTTTGTTATAATGTCCAAAAATGTCAAAATATGATTATGCTCTTTCGCGTCATCTGTAAAAATTCATGAAATAAAATATGTAAATATATAAATATAAAAAATATTTTTTTTTTATACTATTTTCACACAGTAATCTTTGTTTACAGGGTTATTGGAACATGAGGACGGGACTATATTGAAGGCACTACAGAAGCCTCCTCGCGGGACGAGGGAGCTGGACTTCTATAGGAAAATATTTGATGAGGACTGTGCTGATAAAGATATATTACAACTACAACAACTACTCCCGCAGTTCTACGGCTCATTTCAATTTGATGAATATCCAGATGGTATGTGTACACTATGAATACTAGCGGAAAAAATTTGAGCCGCACCATGACAAAATCAACATAATGCTTTTGCGACCAGATCAGCCTGCGCATCTGTGCAGTCTGATCAGGATCTATGCTGTTCGCTATCAGTTTCTCTTCTTGTAATAGAGTTTGTAAGCGAGCAGCATGGATCTTGATCAGACTGCACATGGTCTGGATCTATGTTGGTTTCAAACACACTATTTTGGTTTTGTCATGGCGCAGCTCAAATGTTGATGAAGTTTTAAGTGATTTGGAATGAACATTTATATGATGAATACTTATTTTTTGTTCTAAAACATTTTATTACATGCTATATAGATATATGTAATATCGGATAATGTTTTTCACACTTGCCAGAAACATCCATATATAATTCTTAAATTCATGCTTTGCTGTTATGTTCGATACTTAATTCTTGCAACATAATTATTCATTGAATTACAGACCTTCTATTATTGTCCAATTCACTTTAATGAAAGTCAGAATAAATAAATTGCACAAATGGAACAGGGAAATATTGTTTGAAAATTTCAGAAGGTTTGGTTATCGTTTAGAGTGGGTGTGTCTTATTTTAAAACCAATGTAGTAATAAGTAAACTTAATTTTACTCATACATTATGAGGTAGTAACTTAACAGCAGCTTTCTATGGTTTGATGTAGTGATTTTTGTAGATTCCGTGCAAAATTTTGATTTTGGATTCCATGTTTTTTATTTTTCGCCTCAAAAACTGTCTTAATAGTAGCCCAGTTTTCATATATGAAAATTGTTTGCATGACTATATGATACAGGCAATCAATTTGTTCTCAATTTGGTAACTTAAAACAAATGTTGTAATTTGTACAATAATTTGTTAATGTCATCAACCTTAAGAAAATATGTTGATAATTTACTATGGAATGTTTATCAGTATTGACGAAATGATCGGATGTCATTATTTATTCAATTAAGAAAGATTGATATAAAGTATTCGCTTTCCCATTCATCAAATTTTTGTTAAATATATGTCATATAAAAAAAATCATGATCAAAATGTAGTCTTCTTCCCCTTTTCACTAATTCTTGATTAAAAGTTTACTATGTACCATATTAAGAAAATTCATGATCAAAATGTAGTCTCCTCCCCATCTCACTAAATTCTTGATTAATAATGTACTATATAAAAAAGTCATGATTAAAATGTAAAATGTTTTATAGTGGTTCCCCCATACAGCGTTCATAATATGGGGGGACAGGCAATTAATTTTACAGTTTGTTTATAGTTAAAGGCATTAAAAGTAACACAGTTCATTAATGACATGATTAGCACATGGGTGTAGTAATACTGTGTATTACATACTTCTGATGTATCTAAATGTTTACGCCAAAAATAGGTGTTGTTGTTTTTCTCCACGTCATCTTAAGAAGCTGATGAATCTCATGCACATGATTGATTATGTTGTAAACATGACTCAAACTATGTCGTTCCAAGTATTTTATAACGGTAATGTTACAAGGTAATTATGATGAATGTAATTGAAAACATTGGGAATTTGACGCAATACTGACATATGTCATCTGTATTAGAAAACAAGTTTGTGTCGTTGCTGCGCTGAACCATTAATTTTGTTCCGAGTTTGGTTTTAATTAATAAAAAACTTGTTTTATCGTTTTTTTATCATGTGTTATTTTTTTCATCCAATTAAGAGTACTGATAATTAATTAGGAGTGTGTATTTTGTAATTGTTAGGAGAAATAAAGGATGTAAATCATGTAATACACATTTCACCATATTAGTAATCACAGACGATTGTGGACCCCCCACCCTTCTCCTCCCTTGAATTTTGAAAATTTAAACAAATTTTTTTTGCAAGCACTAGTCTTAATTGGTTTAAAATATTGATATGACATGGTCTAGTGCCTTACACATAAACAAGTTTGAACAGAATTTCACAACCTTTAAAAAAAAACATTGTTTTACCCATGCTTCAATCAATTTATGATATTTTAGTGAGTTTTTTTAAGTGTCAAAATAATGGAAAACAAGTTTAATTTTCATTACGTGTAAACCAGGTAGTAATAATATGCAAACAATTTTTAATGTAGGGTTTTGCAAATTAAATTTAGCCGTGATGCATACAAGTGCAAATCAAAAAAAGGAAAACAACTTGCATAACCCCAAGTGTCTATGTAAGAAATAATTCGGTTAGGTAAATCTGTCTCACATGGCCTTGATATTTGATTACATTACAGCAGATTGTCATTTTAATATAACCTTGAAAATCAGTATTGAAAAACAATTACAGTATTTGTTTGTTTCTGATAAGACGTAGTCCAACTAATTCTACTTCCTGTTGAGATATAACATGCTATTTTGAGTTTATGGGCAATATCTTCTGTAGAAGGGAGACAAAAAAATATCTCAGGATCTGGCTTTGGGACATCAACAGTTTTTGACTAGATGCCACTGTGTTATATATTGCCCAAGTTCTAAAGATATGACTATAAAGTTTAAGACCTTGTTATATATTGCCCATGTTTTAAAAACACTTATAGTTGGCATTATCACAAGTCAGTTATCCACCTCATGTAGTAAAAATGGACTTGTCCCATAGATTTAGAAGTGCTTATTGTAAGAAAGTGAGATTTTAAAAGAGAGGAAAAAAAATAAAAAAAATCAGCAAGCAACTGTACAGAGCCTGGTCAGGCTTTAGGGCTTTTTTTCACATGTAGGGGAAAGGGCCCTTCCCTAAAATTTGGGGGAAAATAACACAGTATTTTTGCAAAAGCAGACAAAAAAATTGATTTCAGTTAAATTTGAGAGGAAAACTGCATGGTTTAATTTTTTTTCTGAGGGGAAACAGCCCCTGCTATAGAATGAAAAAAAGCCCCTTGGATGCAAGCCCACTGCTATATAATGAAAAAAAAGCCCCTGGGATGCAAGCCCCGCTATAGAATGAAAAAAGCCCTTAGGATGCAAGCCCACTGCTATAGAATGAAAAAAGCCCCTGGGATGCAAGCCCCCTGCTATAGAATGAAAAAAGCCCCTAGGATGCAAGCCCCCTGCTATAGAATGAAAAAAGCCCCTTGGATGCAAGGCCCCAGCTATAGAATGAAAAAGAAGCCCCTGGGCTGCTCTGATTTACAGGCTGGCCTAGCTCTATACTGATAACATAGATTATATAAATGAGCCGTGTCATGACAAAACCAACATTATTGGTTTGCGACCAGCTTGGATCCAGACCAGCCTGCGCATCCGCGCAGTCTGATCAGGATCCATGCTGTTCGCTTACAAACCCTATAACAAGTAGAGAAACTGATAGCGAACAGCATGGATCCTGATCAGACTGCGAGTATGCGCAGGCTGGTCCACATTCATGCTGGTCGCAAACCCATTATGTTGGTTTTGTTGTGACGCGGCTCAAATGTCATTGTAAGCTATCTAAGATTGGCATTTTACAGCTTTTTGTTGAAGCAGATTATTTGTGAAATACAGTATTTAATAATAATATTGGATTATGTTGAAGGTCATATAGTATAAAAGAGGATTTAGTTCAATTTAGCTTCTATATAAATTATTAAATATACCTTCAATAAACTACACCAGGTTATTCAATAGTTCCATATAAAAGTTATTGATATTTTCCCCAAGTTGCTGATTTTAGGTTTAGTAAAAGAAATAATCTACTTCTTTATGAAAAAAAAGCTTTTAGAAATATCTGAGCACTGTAGTGTCAATATCTGAACATAAATGTATTGAATGTATAATAAATAGATCAATGCACAGTACATTAAGGTCTATTCTGAAGTGATTAGTAATATACTTCATTAGAGGTGAATGGTGTATTGAAATTGTGAGAGAGAATTATGAATTATTGACTTAAAAATATAAAGTATCATATGAACTGCTGTATGATGTATCAGAGAAATGAATAAAGTTTTTCTTAAAAGATGTTATTGTCTTTGAAAAGGGTTGAATCATAGATTTACTTTTTATATATGACAAAGGCTTATTGATGCTGCCTTTATAATGCTCTGAGGATTTTGTGCTTTATGTACAGGGATTTTTTTTGCATAAGTCAAGAAATTTTGTTAAGAAATTTTGTACAGAAATTTTAGTTTTGATAAAAAAATAAATAGATGTACTTTCAATGAAATAGGGAAAATTCCCTTATTATTACTTGTAGAGGTACCTTTAATAAAATAAGGAAAATTCCCTATTATGACCTATAGAGGTGCCTTTAATAAAATAAGGAAAATTCCCTATTATGACCTATAGAGGTGCCTTTAATAAAATAAGGAAAATTCCCTATTATTACTTGTAGAGGTACCTTTAATAAAATAAGGAAAATTCCCTATTATGACCTATAGAGGTGCCTTCAATAAAATAAGGAAAATTCCTTATTATGACTTGTAGATGTACCTTCAATAAAATAAGGAAAATTCCCTATTATTACTTGTAGATGTACCTTCAATAAAATAAGGAAAATTCCCTATTATGACCTATAGAGGTGCCTTTAATAAAATAAGGAAAATTCCTTATTATGACTTGTAGATGTACCTTCAATAAAATAAGGAAAATTCCCTATTATGACTTGTCGATGTACCTTCAATAAAATAAAGAAAATTCCCTATTATGACTTGTAGATGTACCTTCAATAAAATAAGGAAAAGTCCCTATTATGACTTCTAGAGGTGCCTTCAATAAAATAAGGAAAATTCCCTATTATGACTTGTAGATGTACCTTCAATAAAATAAGGAAAATTCCCTATTATGACTTCTAGAGGTGCCTTCAATAAAATAAGGAAAATTCCCTATTATGACTTGTAGATGTACCTTCAATAAAATAAGGAAAATTCCCTATTATGACTTCTAGAGGTGCCTTCAATAAAATAAAGAAAATTCCTTATTATGACTTGTAGATGTACCTTCAATAAAATAAGGAAAATTCCCTATTATGACTTCTAGAGGTGCCTTCAATAAAATAAGGAAAATTCCCTATTATGACCTATAGAGGTGCCTTTAATAAAATAAGGAAAATTCCCTATTATGACTTGTAGATATACCTTCAATAAAATAAGGAAAATTCCCTATTATGACTTGTAGAGGTGTATTCAATAAAATATAAAAAATTCCCTATTATGACTTGTAGATGTACCTTCAATAAAATAAGGAAAATTCCCTATTATGACTTGTATATGTACCTTCAGTAAAATAAGGAAAATTCCCTATTATGACCTGTAGAGGTGCCTTTAATAAAATAAGGAAAATTCCTTATTATGACTTGTAGATGTACCTTCAATAAAATAAGGAAAATTCCCTATTATGACTTGTCGATGTACCTTCAATAAAATAAAGAAAATTCCCTATTATGACTTGTAGATGTACCTTCAATAAAATAAGGAAAAGTCCCTATTATGACTTCTAGAGGTGCCTTCAATAAAATAAGGAAAATTCCCTATTATGACTTGTAGATGTACCTTCAATAAAATAAGGAAAATTCCCTATTATGACTTGTAGATGTGCCTTCAATAAAATAAGGAAAATTCCCTATTATGACTTGTAGATGTACCTTCAGTAAAATAAGGAAAATTCCCTATTATGACCTGTAGAGGTGTATTCAATAAAATATAAAAAATTCCCTATTATGACTTGTAGATGTACCTTCAATAAAATAAGGAAAATTCCCTAAATAAGGAAAAAATCCCTATTATGACTTGTAGAGGTATCTTCAATAAAATAAGGAAAATTACCTATTATGACTCCCTATTATGACTTGTAGATATACCTTCAATGAAATAAGGGAAATTCCCTTTTATGACTTGACTTTTATTACCTTTAATAAAAAAAGGAATTTTATGACTTGTAGATTTACTATGGATAAAATTAGGAAAATTCGCTATTACATGACAGTTATGTACTTTATGAAAAAAATGCCCTGTAACATTTTGAATGGCATTGATCTTACATACCAAGATATAATGTTTTGTGTACAAACTTAAACTATATAAATAATGTGACAGGTCAAATATCTGTAATGTATATATATAATATCAAATGTTGAATATGATTGCTTTGTTCTCAAGGTCACCGTAGTCTCTGTTTGGAATACCAGTTTGATCAGAACAAAGAAATTTTAAACATTGACTTAAGTACCAATATTAACTGATTGAAATAATATCTGATAAATTAACACCGTATGTTTTTGTTTTTAAATTGACAAAGCTCCTCATTGGTGCTTGAAGTTCAAGATTAAGTTCAATATTAGGGCTTAAAATAGAATTTTATGAATTGAATTTGTTAAAACATTTTTTACCTTCAAATCTTGCTTTTGATATATATTACATAGATCTAGTTGGGTTTTTTTCTCCAATATATATGTTTTTTACCAATTTTACCAAGGGTTATAAGGTTTGTCTGGGTAAAGACTTAAATATTGAGCGTTAGGTTGCTTCCAGTCTTATTCTCTTTTGTATTTATTGTAAATGTCATATAAAATTTTTCTTGTATATAATAAAAATAAGAAGAAAATGGAGAAGTACAACACATTATTTTTATTTATTGTTATTTATTAGTCCCCTACCGGTTTACCGGAGGGGACTTTAGGTTTACCCTCCGTCCGTCTGTCCGTCCGTCCGTCAGTCCGTCCGTCCACAAAACTGGATCCCGCGATAACGCAAAAAGTACTAAATATATTTTAATGAAACTTGATATATGGATAGATGGCAGTATGGAGATTATGCACGTCTTTTTCTTTTCTTCCTATGTTGAAAATTCTGGTTGCTATGGCAACAAATAGACTGAAAATATGGCAAATTTTACACATAACCTGGATCCCGCGATAACGCAAAAAGTACTGAAAATATTTTTATGAAACTTGATATACGGATAGATAGCAGTATGGAGATTATGCACGTCTTTTTCTTTTCTTCCTATGTTGAAAATTCTGGTTGCTATGGCAACAAATAGACTGAAAATATGGCAAATTTTACACATAACCTGGATCCAGTGATAACACAAAAAGTACTGAAAATATGTTTATGAAACTTGACATATGGGTAGATGGCAGTATGGAAATTATGCACCTATTTTTTTATCTTCCTATGTTGAAAATTCTGGTTGCTATGGCAACAAATAGACTGAATTTCAAGATTTCTGATTCTAGTTTTTAAGTTTTTTCACTCTAAGTTCTTTATTTCTTAAGGTATTTTCTTCAAACTTTAAACATAAGTTGCTTGTCATCAACCACATCATATGTGACAAGGTTTACAACTCTAGCACAAAATTTATCAGAATTAGCTCCCTTGAACTTCAAATTTTCATGAAAAAAACATTGTTTTTTTTTAATAACTTCTTTTTCTGAATGTATCTACTTCAAACTTCATATAAATGTTTCTTATTGTCACTCAACATTTGTGAGTGTTCAATACTCTAGCAAGACTATTTCCAGAATTATGCCCCTTTTGAACTTAGACTTTTTTTGAGAAATTGGTAATTTTTCAACAAATTTACTTAAAATAGGAACCTAAGTGAATGGCCAATGGCCCTTCAGAATGTTGCTTGGGCTCTTACCGGTAGGGGACTTATGGATTGCTTGCAATATTATGATAATTGCTTGTTACTACCAGTTATGCTTCTATCGAACCTTCATCAGGATATATGTATATGATGAATAAAATATGTTTTAACCAAATTATACTCTGTATATTTCTGGCCATGTGAATTTAATTTGTTGCCACTCTTATCCCAGACCTTAAAGTTATTGGTTAGGACTCATGAATTTGATATACTAAACATGCACATTTTAATTCTTTTGTATATACACATTGTCTTCTTTACAGTGACATACCTGAAGCTGGAGAATCTAGTTAGAAAGTTCAAGAAACCATGTGTTGTTGATATTAAAATGGGGAAGAAAACTTACGATCCGGAGGCTGGACCTGCTAAGATCGCTAAAGAGATGACAAAGTTCCCACATGTAGAAAAGTTTGGCTTCCAATTCACAGGAATGCAGGTATATGAAACTGTTATTGATATAACGAAACTCAATCTTAATCTGATGATATAGTTCAGGCGTGTCTTTCATTTGATACATAGTTAGTTAGATTATGATATAGCTAATATTACTGCTATTTGAAGAGAAATATGACTATTTTAGCTCACCTGAACAGAGATTGTGGTGCTGTGAGGTGAACTTTTGTGATAGCATGATGTTGAACTAATGTAATCTGTTGTGTTTTGTCATCTTCTACTATGATAGGGTAGATTTTGATCAAACTTCAGAGAACTGAACAGTTACTGTTAGTGGCTCTCACTACTTTGGTTCTTTAATGCACTCACCCCAGGGACCATGGGTTCAAGGGGCACTTTGGTTGTCTAAAGGTTAAGAAGCCATTGACACACATTAGGGACCATGGGCTCAAGGGCAACTTTGGTTTTCTAGTGGATAAGAAGCCATCCCCTTACCTCAGGGACCATGGGCATCAAGGGCCACTTTGGTTCTCTAATGGGTAAGAAGCCATCCACTTACCCCAGGGATCATGGGCTCAAGGGCCACTTTGGTGTTCTAATGGTTAAGAAACCATCCACTCAGCTCAGGGATCATGGGCTCAATGGCCACTTCGGTGTTCTAATGGTTAAGAAACCATCCACTCAGCCCAGGGATCATGGGCTCAAGGGCCACTTTGGTGTTTTAATGGTTAAGAAACCATCCACTCATCCCATGGACCATGGGCTCAAGGGCCACTTTGGTGAACCATCCACTCATCCCAGGGATCATAGGCTCAAGGGCCACTTTGGTTCTCTTATGGATAAGAAGCCATCCACTCACCCCGGGGATCATAGGCTCAAGGGCCACTTTGGTTCTCTAATGGGTAAGAAGCCATCCACTCACCCCAGGGATCATGGGCTCAAAGGCCACTTTGGTGTTCTAATGGTTAAGAAGCTATCCACTAACCCCAGGGATCATTTGCTGAAGGACCTTGAGTTCTTTAATGGTTAAGACCCCAGGGACCATGGGCTCAAAGGCCTTTGGTTCTCCCATACAGGTTAACTCATAAATGGTTCAAATATTCAATATTCTCCAAGTTTTAACACAATTACACTTGATTGTACAAACATACAAGATGTCAATAAATCTGCTAATATATCAAAGAGGACTTTGATTCATGCACAGACTTTTAAATTAATATTTTATAGTATATTAGATGAGGTAATAAACAATAACTTCAACTCGTTAAGAGATATGATTTATTTGCTATGTAATATTTAATGATAATTTATTTACTTTTTTGATTTAAAAAAAAAATGAAGCTTAACTGCAAAACAGTCCACACAAAGAGACATGACAGTGCTTTATCAATGATTAAATCACTCTACAGAAAATAGAATCTACTTCAGAATGAGTAGGGGATTTTATTCTTTAAAATTTAATTATTCAAATTACGTCACATTTACAAGTGAAGGAGTTTTTGTATACTTAGGAAATAGATATCAATTTTAATTGCATTGTTGTAAAATAATGCAGGCTTCGATTTCACATGCGTAGGAATATAATGAAGGCTGATAGGCCTGAATGATAAGTTACAAAGCATTTGACCGATAAATTGTGCATTATTGTATTATAATGCAAGAAAAATTAATATTTTTTTCCATTGTAATATGATGATAAAAAGAGAATTAATAGAAATATGTTGAACTATATTGAGTTTGGAAGTAATTTTCATGCCGTCAATTGGTTATTTGACATAATTTCTGGCATCATATGAAATGTAAGCATTCCTTTTTTATGCTTTGCATATATTGTGTAATTTTACACCTGATTGCCTTATTTGTTTGATAGGGGAATATTGTGAAGCGTGTTAGAATAGTAAATTTATCACTTTGGTAAATTAGCTTTTTCTTCCTATGCATCACAATGCCGTATTCTGCTTTTTAAATTGTGAGTTGATTGAAGACTTTGATATTTTAATTGGTGTATTGATTTATACTAAGCTAGGATTGAATCTTAAAACATTTATACATGTACCTCTATTTTTCATTTTGTCGTATCAAAGACAAAATTTAAAGTACCATATTCTCTTCATTTAGTTCACAGAGGTCATACCATTTAGGCACTACACCCACCCAATATTGAATTGGGAATTGCCTGTTGTTAGGTATTCAAAATACTAAATTTTAAACAGCTGTGTTATCGTAGTATAAAGTCTGGTCAAGCTGTATACTTTCGCACACTTGCACAAGCTTGTGTACAGTAGCTTTTACAATACTGGTGAGCATACGGCATTTATAGAAAAGACATTATTTTTTTTATGAAATTCTTAAAAGTTTATTTTTAGCTCAACTATTGGAGGAATTGAGAGAGCTATTGTATTCACCCAGGCATCAGGTGCACAAGTACTTATTTAAATGCATTCATCCAAGTCACTATCCAAGGCCTATAACTCTAACATCAATTTTGATAGAATTACGATTTTTTTTAACATTATCCACTATAAAGTACTGAGAAGTCAAGCACTCTGTCCTACTGACAGCTCTTGTTTATAATGGATTTGCTGAGCTTTTAATTTGAAACGGTCCATTCAAAGCATAAAGGATTTCAATAGATGCTTTCAATTTAGCGATTTGCGTTACGGAAGAATTACCTCTTGTAGCGGATGTGATGTAAATGGAGGATTATTTTTTTACAGATGGCTTTGGATGTTTAATAAGCTGATTAAAAGGAAAATGATCAAATTAAAAATTAAAAATGCAGTGTTTCATCGCAATGTGTAAAATAGAGATCGAGGTTGTTCAATCATGAATATAATATGAATTCAATATCAAGCCAATAAGTTGAACAAAAGTAAATGTTTCACATTTATTAAAAGAAAAAATACATCAGTGAAATGTCAAAGTGATTATCATGGACTAATGGTATAGTCTCTTGATAAAGAAAAGCATTTTAACATTACTAGAAAATATGAACTATATTGTGCCATAAATTTACTTGTACGGTATATGTTCTATGTTTAGGGGAAGCTTTGAATAGTTACTAAGCAAAAGAAATTTTTGTTTCTTTTCTTCCAGAAAACATATGGTTTTTCTAATTTTGTCCTGTAACATATTTGAGCCGTGTCATGACAAAACCAACATAGTACGTTTTTGTGACCAGCATGGATCCAGACCAGCTTGGGCATCCACGCAGTCTGATCAGGATCCATGCTGTTCGCTATCCGTTTCTATATTTGCTATAGGGTTTGTAAGTGAACAGCATGGATCCTGATCAGACTACGCGGATGCGCAGGATGGTCTGGATCCATGCTGGTCACAAACCCATTATGTTGGTTTTGTCATGACGCGGCTCATTTAGTGTTTAAATTCGTAAACCTTTCCTTATATTGACAACACTTATAGAAAAGGGTATTTAATCTATAACATACAAACAAGAATATTTATAAAAACAATGGACTTGAAGTAGATTATCAAGTTTTTGATCTTTTTTATACATCAGCATAAATATTGTAAACAGTCAAATTATTCACTTTTAGTTCACCCACACAGTATGAACATGGACATTTAATATATTTATCATTACTGTAGAAATGAAAAGCCTGTGATAAAATTATATAATTTTATGTAGAAGATAAGCCAAACAGATAGGGCCTGGTCAGACTGCACGAATGCAGGCTGGCATTAGGCCTTACTTGAAAAGTTAACACTTTTCTGGAAATATTTGTGAGACAAACTAGGGGTAAAATGTCTTAGCAGGTGTATGTGTGTATTCATTTCTTTCAAATTTACTGTTAGATATTGTTACCTTAGTACAGTATAGGGTTTACTCCTTATATAAATTAATATGAGTTAACCCATTTCTGCATTAAAGTGACGCTATATTGGTCTGTTTACTTGCTCCCTTCGGCCTTATATTTCACAGATTCGGCTTTACTGTTGCACAATTCCTGTATAATAACCAAGTTTCTGCATTACGGCATTCCGGATATACAAGCAAATACTGATGGCTAAGCTTAGAGACTAATCACATTGGTTCACGTGTTGGAATGGGCTACTTTCAAGGATTTTAATATCGCAGACTAAACATGTATATTAAAATGAGTAACTTTATATTTTTCAGACATATGACCCAGTGGAACAGAGAATCAAATTTTATGACAAGTTTTTCTGTAGAAAACTGGGAGAGAATGAACTATTAACAAAAGGTAAACCAGAGTTTATTTCTGAGAACAATGTACTTGACAATATAATGATTAGTTCAAGTATATGATTAAGTGTTTGTTAAAAAAAACAACATATGAATTTTTTGCATAAGAAATTTATAGTAAAGTACTGTAGTAAAAGGAATTAAAAGAATTACTAGGAGGCTGATGTAGGCAAAAATGCATGTTGGGCCACCTCAAAACTTACAAAACACTTTGTTTATGTGAGAAAACTAAAAATGACTACATCTAATTTAAAATGGACTGAAAACATTCAATGACATCTTTGCAGTTAAATTATTTTTAAAAATTCTATATAAATCATTGAAGGACCTTTTTCCATACTTTGATTAAGGCTTGTTTATTTTTTTCAGGACTTGGAACCTACTTCAGTATAAAGCATGGACTCAGAAAAGACGCTATTAAAGTTTTAATTGAAAAATTAAAAGAAATCGAGAAGTGGTTCGAAACTCAGAGACGATTCTCATTCTATGCTAGCTCATTGTTAATGATTTATGAAGGTGATACTCAACAAAATGATTATTACACTCCGTGCAATCAGTGTCACACAGGAGACTGTATGTGTAGTATGGCCGACTCCGAGCAGACAGACTCGACCGACCAGTCAGATAATGCATCCTCGCGTGGAACTGAAAACACAGACCTAACCTCGTCCGAAACAGTATTGTCCGAAATGGATACAGCTTCATCAAGTAGAACAGACAACTCATCGCTAACGGCCTCAGTTAGTAACATATCTGTGGATACACAGTCTACGTCAGGAAATCCCGGAGTCAATAACCATAATGCAATCCTGGCGGAAGTGCGTATGATAGATTTCACGCACGTGTTTAATGTTGAGGAACAAGACGATAACTACCTATATGGTTTGAAAAATCTTATTTCCAATATGCAACAGCTCCTCGACTCATAGCAGTTTGTAGATTGCTGGACCAATGAGAAAAGTTTGAAAGATAGGCGAAAAACTGTTTTCATGTAACCTACAAAAGTTTTTGCTTCTAGGTGAAATGTCTGGGTTGCTTTCAAGATTACTTATAAAAAAAATTTCTTTCTCACAAAAAAATGAATTTCTTACTATTATAAGTTATGTTTGAGGCTTGTAATTGCTAGCATATACATGTATTTTAACTTTGTGATAAATTTTTTAAGGTCATTCCATCACTGGCAATGAAGTATATCTGCCCATACTGTTAGAATCATTTTAATCAAATAATAAATTTTGAAAAAATTCTCTTCAATGCAAGTTAACGAAACCCCTGCATGGCGACAATTATATGACTGATTGGTTTAGCCCGATGAAAAAAGAATTTCATTTATATTGTATGCATTTCTATTGTGGTCAAAACTCTTTTTGTTGATTTAATAGAATACTCATGAGAAATATCCAAGAAAGTTCCCTACTATTAGATGAAATTCTGATAATGAGAAAAAAATATACCAAAGATAAAGTTTTTGAGAAATAAAAATGATACCATTTATGAGGCATAATGGACCTTTAACTTTGATATTAATAGCAGACTAATCATTATCAGTCTCATCATTATATTCTTAGGAAATTCCTAACTTGAATATATCGGAATACTGATAATTGGGTTCTAAGAAAGTTCTTAACGTTTGATCGTAATCTCGACTTAAATGGAATACTGTTAATTGGATTCTTAGAGTGCTTGTCAACTACATTATACAGTGTAGTAATAAAGCTTTAAGTCAGTCTTATTTACATAGTTTTTTTACATTAATTTTTCTATCTAAATATTGGCACTCCTGTAAAACAGGTCAAATAAACATTAGTTTCTTGGAATTATTGATTTTTTAGCTCGACTTTTCTATGAAAAGGGGAGCTATCCTACTCGCCCCGGCGTCGGCGTCGGCGTTGGCGTCACACCTTGGTTAAGTTTTTCGTACCACCCCACTTTATTTCAGAAGTATTACAAGTATGGCTTTGAAACTTACCATACTTGTTCACCATCATAACCTCCATCTACAGACAAGAGTACATAACTCTGTCAAGGTTTTTGACAGAATTATGGCCCTTTTTTGACTTAGAAAGTGTATTGAGCTTGGTTAAGTTTTTTGTACCACCTCACTTTATTTCATAACCATTGGAGGTATTGCTTTGAAACTGACCATACTTGTTTACCATCAAGACCTTCATCAACAGACAAGAGGACATAACTCTGTCAAGGTTTTTGACAGAATTATGCCCCTTTTTGACTTAGAAAATACATTGAATATGGGTAAAATCCACTTATTGCCTTAACCCTTTGAGATATTGCTTTGAAACTTTTAATGCTATTTCACATCATTACCCCCATCTGTACGCAAGAGAAGGTAACTCTGTCAAGGATTTGTTTTAAAAATTAAGGCCTTTTATCGACTTAGAATCTTGGTTAATAATTCTTCACTAAATATCTTAATGCTCATGGCCATTGTTCACTTTAAAAATACAGAGATTCTTGTATTGCCTTTTACTGCAAAAACTTTTTTTATTGGCAAGCAATAAAAAAGTCGAGCGCGCTGTCTTACGGACAGCTCTTGTTTATTTTGATTGTAGTCATTTTGGCTCTTGAAACATATAATATGAGAAATTCAGTTTTGTATTCAGTTTTATAAACAATATACTTGCTGTTTGATTTACATTGATTAATTAAAGGTGGTTCAGGGCATTTTCACCATATTACCTTGGACTGATATTAGGACCTGTTCCCAATCCAAAAGACTTGAAAATAACGCTTTTTTTTCTCAGTTTAGATAACTCAATAATCCCCAACAGAAAACTGTTTTAACTTCTGAGAAAAATTGAACTGTTTTGACTTGTTTCTGAAAAGAAATTACAGCTTAAATGATCATACATGTGTTATTAACCATAAAAAAACATGTATAACGCATTTTTTCAACTTATTATAATTTTCCAAATTTCTCAAAATGCTGAAAAGTATGTTTTTTTACCAATTCATGCCAGGGGTCTTTTCCCGAAATAGTTCGGAAAAATCCTGTAATGGTGGGCAATTTATACAAAGAAATACTGGTAAAATTGTTTTTGTTTTCTTTGAGAAAGAGCATTATGAGTCATGTTAGGTAGGTTGTTTATAGAACATAGTGTTTCCACAGTAAATGACAAAACTGGTTCCCTGTATCTGTGATAGGTATGATTGATGTGTTGATTGGACAGGTATCTAGACATGGTACCAGGAATTATTATTCTGTACATCTCTGTCTTTGTTTCTGTAACAATGATTTCCATGTTTTCTCCCCCATGTTTTCTCTTATGCATGTTAATTACTCATCTATTTGATTTGTACATGATAAGCCTTTTTCTGGCTGGTGATGAAATTCCACAATGAGAAATAAGAATGTAAACAAGTGTTGTTCTCCCTTGTCATTGATTTATATACTTTTTTTTCCCATAATTATATATAGAAATTTCTATTTCTACAAATAGAAAAACATCCCATGTCATTGATTAAGATAGATTTTTTTTTAAATAATTATATATATAGAAACATCATTTTCTACATATGGAAAAAAAAAGATATATGTTAAACAAAGCACAATAAAAGAAAAACACAAAAAACTTTGTATATGCTCAATGTATTATACTATAGAAAACCAGGAAATAAAAAAGACAAAAGCCAGTCATGAACCATTTTGGCATGACATCATCAGACCGCAGTCATTTACTATGGAATCCCTCAATTTTTAACCATTTTTGTTTTAGATTTATTTTCTGATAATGGAACTCTCCAGATATTAGATTGTAAAATATTGATGATTGAGTGGCTGGGCACAAACAAACTCTTCCATGTGCAACTCCCCCATACATTTATAATGGGATTTCAACCAAACTTTAACCAAATGATTGTTATCAAATAAAGTTTCCTGGTGCATATTGTTGTTTGGTTTCTATTTGATCTTTTTTGAAAGAATTATGACCTGTTGTATTTTTTTCCTCACAAAATTATTGTAACATTAGCAGAAAAACAAGTTTTGTGTAATTTCCTGTCATTTTGAATCTTTGTTTCATATTTTGTATCCTCTTTGCTCTGATTCCAGTAATGAAAAAAAAAAGTCTTTGTGTTAAAAAAGATGTGCCCAAATGGACACACTAAAAACATGTAAAAATGATTTTTCATGAGAGCTGATAATTCATAATGATAATGTTATATTATGATAGATAATATTCAGTTTTTTGCATATTTATTGATAATTGTTTTCTTCAAGTATTATGTGTATTTACGTTCATAGATATAGAAATGTGTGATACTTCTTTGTAATGCCTTTTTTCTCCAAGTATAAATATTTTTATCTAACGAAATGTTGCATTACATGTTTGTTTTTGATAAAGGCACTAAAGTAGAAAATATCTTAAGAATTAGAACAAGATAATAAAGAAGGGCTCTTATTTTGGATAATACAATGTATCTTAAGAATGAGATCAAATTTTTAAAAAATAATTTGGTTTAATAATTATGGTAATGTTTTTGCAACAATATTGAAATGTAAAAAAAAAATGTTTTTCTTAGTGCTATTGTTTGTGTTACTTTATATAATTCCTTGATTTGATTGATTTCATTTTGATTGGAATTTGGTTGTAATTAGAGGGATGGGTGGGATAGGGGTTAATGTATTTTATCCCATATATATACCACAATGGTGGCAACATCTTCATTTACTGAGCTGACGCCTTCATAATTGGACTTTGGACATATTGAAATTTGACACTGAATCCTGAATGACTTTGATTATTGCAAAGTTTTGCCATTACTTTCTTTTATTTATTATCGTAATTGGTGGAGGAAATTCTTTTCTCATATTTATATTTTCATTAATATAGGACAACAACTTTTAGATTATTTTATTCAAGTTTCAACTTTGAATGGCTATACAAGCTGAAAATCTCATTTAATGAATCCATACAGCTGTATTATACTACGTATAAACACTTATTTTTACTTTTTTTTCTTTGGGTTTCTCTTTCTTTCTTTACCTTTTGCTGTATCAGCAATCTCATCCTTGTTCATTAGAGAAATAAACTGCCTCTGAATTAAATACCTGTGTTCACAAAGAAAAAATCCGGATCTGGATTTATGTTCATTGCGTTTTGTCGCTTATTAATGATCATATTTGGTTATAATAATAAGGTATTTTTACAAAATGTAAAACTTGCTGATTTTGCAAAGAAAAAAACATAGTTTGGGACAAAAATTATTTAGGAGTAAAAAATTGCAATACTAATAACAATAATAACTGGATCAAAATAAGGATCAAATTAAGGATCAACGTAAAAATTTTGATTACCGGTACCTTATAATCATGCATAGCTTGTTTAGTTATAATAAAATTTGTGTTTCACATATGCATGCCATTTCAAGCCCACGTTTATGTTTATATTGAATACTAAATCTGTGCAAGTACGAAATATGTATTTTGACCCTGATCTTGATCCTCAAATCTTTGTGAACATGGGGCCAAATACTATAATTTATATTAAATATTTAATTATTTTTGAAGAAATTCTTCTATTCTATATTTGTATCTTTGATATTTTGGGATGGATTTATTGTCTGCATTGTGTTCTCTTTAATTTCTCATTCATTTTGACATGAATTTTAAACATTGTTCTTTAACCTGATGATGTCTGACCTTTGACCTTAGATGATGTCTGACCTTTGACCTTAGATGATGTCTGACCTTTGACCTTTGCAGCTGTCAGTTCTATTGTGATGACAGTACATGTATGAAGTAAGCTTTTAATCTGTGAAACCAAAACTTGCAAATAGTCATGTAATTTTCGAATGCAACTGAAAATCTAAACAAAAAGCAATTGCTTTTAGAACTAAATTATCCTTTGTTTTTATGTATTACACATATTTTATTTTCTCCCAAGAGTAATCATGTAGAAATTTAAATGGGAGTATTTACATACTGATAGAAATAGCATAGCTATTACTTTTCATGAATAGATTACTGTTGCATTTGACAGATATATACACGTGTGGGATTTGATGGTTAGATTGTAAATCAGATAGGTCGGGTATGACTCGCTACATGTAATCACTGACTATTTCATGTGCTGTCAATCTTCATTAATGTCAATTGTGATATACAAGTAAAGTTGCTTTCTGTTTCTGCCCACAACAAGCTGATATGAATAATCTCTGAGCTATTGTTTTAATATCTCTACAATAAAGAATGAGGGGGTTTTGTTTCTTCTTGCTATAATTCTCTTAGAATGTAATAAATGGAAAGGTGTGTTTAAATAGGATAAAAGAAGTAATTATGAAAAAATGTAATGAAAAACAAAAGAATCTAGCATTTACAAAGAAACAAAAAAAAACAATTTGTATTAAATGTAAAAGATTCTCTCATTCTTAATCAGCTATTATTTTGTTTTTTTTGCAGCTTTCAATTTTTCAGACTCCTAGTTTTAGTCCAATATACAACGAAAGAAATTATTTGTTTCTTGCTCAAATGACATTATTCCATTATCAATTTTATAAAATGGTGGTTTAGTTAATTTTGATAAAAAAAAACAGCATTCATTAAAAAAGTTGTAAGAAATGGTTAGGGTTATGCTATGGCGATATATCTGTGAATCTTTAAGTACTCTCTCTATCTTGCTGATGATAATAATGTTATGTTTTGTTTCATAGACAGATGCTTTAGGGATCAGACCTTGCACCCCAATGTGATAAGCCCGTGTAAACACCCTTATCAAAAGTCTTTTAACATTATAACACGAATGGGAAATCAGTCTGTTACAACGAAAAAACAGGTTTTCGAACAATTTTCTCATAAATACAAAAAAATACCTTTTACCATCAAGTCTCAATACTGTTTAAATGTTCAAAGATTTTTGATAGAGTGTTATCAGTGGTGCATCACGTTGGAGGGCAGCGTCTGACTCCGAAGTGTCTACGTTTCTTTTGACATTGGCAGAAATATAATTTCCTTCAATCCTAAGTTCACTTGGAGCAGCAAATTCTAAAAATATGACCAGTGCCGACCATAATAAACCAGCACTTATGTTCCGTTTGAAAATGGTATGCACTGTTTGCTATAATAATTCAGTTAGTACATGCTATGAAATTTTCCTTTAAATTGATGAACGGTTTTGTCCAGATAGATATGAAAATAGACAGACATGTCCATTTAAGATATTTAGAGTGGTTAAGATTAATTAATACACTAACAATCAAGATCATGTGAAGTCCATTATACTAATTCATTTGGGAATAAGATAATGAATGGAATTGTTTTAGATAACCCATGTACATTTTAATCGTGATTAATCCTAGGGACATGACCTTGAATCCATTTAACCATATTGATTTTATGAATGTGTCATATGATATATCATATAGGAAAATAATCTCAAAAAGGAACCTTTTTATTGGTCAAATTTTTTGACATTTATAAAAAATCAGTCTATCGAAATCCTTGTTTCAAAATTTATGATTCTGTACTATAATTTGTTACAGTTTCTTAGTTTTGAAGATGATTTATTGATAAGTATAAAGGTCATTGAACCTGTTTTCTTTTAAACAGATTTCTTCAGAAATGATTACTTAGCTATAGACCTGTTGGTTAAAGACTGATTTTTTTTCTCCATAGAAGTCGATGAATATTGCCATCAAAGCTCTGGGAGAAAATATATGACAGCGGGAGACTATTATAAACTATAAATGAACCTCGTCTATCCATTTATATCCCTGCCATTATTTAGTTATTTAAACATTAAATAACAGCTTTTGATACAGGAGAAAATGTGATATCGATTAGATCTAGATGCTGTGTTGTTGACAGGTGTACGATGATTGACTACTGTATTTTATTGTTATTTTGTGATTCTCTATGTTAACGTGGTCAATAGCACTGCAAGTAAAAGTTAAAATTAAGGTGGTCAATAGCACTGCAAGTAAAATTTAAATTAAAAAAAAAAATACCCAGACACTGGTAGGGTTATTATAATGTCATCTTGTCAATTAATTGTGTGGCAGCCCACTGTGATATTGCTTTATATTCAATATGCATTGAAACTGGTTTTATTGTAAAATCTATAAAACAATAGAATATTTTTTTAGAAATTTGTATTTTATTTATTTGGGGAAAATTTATTTATTAATAGGCCTTTTAAGTTGTAATTTTTGAAGTTAAAACTTGATTTTTTTTTCTTTCTTTTCTTTTAAAGATTTTTTTATCGTTAATTTTCCCTATATAAGAAGATTTTAATTTATAATCAAGAACTTGGCTTTGTTTGTTAACAAGTGAAATACACTTCTTGTAACAAATCCACTTTTACCCTCAGAATGCTGGAACTGGAAGTGAATAAACTTTGCCATTAGTAAAGAGTCATGCCCCCCCCCCCTACAAACCAGTTTAGTCTGACTGGGCGCTTTATCTTTGCCTGGAAAATTTCACTATCCCATCTTGATATCCTCAAGTTTCAATATATGGAAGCTTGACAACTCCATTCAAGACATTTAGCAGGGTATTAATTGGATAAAAAAAGGTATGTCTATGGCGTTTTATGCCCCTCCCCCACCCACCATCCTCCAAGTAAAAAAATTGGGAGGATATTTTAGTTTTGGTCTGTTTGTTTATCTGTCTGTCTGTCTGTTTGTCACAAAACATTAATCTAGACCATACTATGAGTTCTTTCACTTTCACGGGTGCTTGCACCTTAATGAGCTCTACCCACCAGACCCACATAGAGGTCCTGTGATCAAAGGTCAAGGCCACCCTGGGGTGCGTTTTTGCAAAAGTAGCTCATGTCAATCATTTTGTATTTATTTGATCAATAGATGTGATAATTATGATAGATATAGGAAAGTTTATTGATGAATATCTATATATTCTAACATTGAACGATAGTGTGTATCCTTCATATACGCTAAAGCATTGTACTGACATTCCATCTCTGTAACTAGTTCTAAGTCTACCTCACTAAATAATATCTCAAATTACTCTATGACTGTATATATTTATATATAAATATTATACCATGTAACTGCATAATCTTATTTAACATAAAATAAAGTTAAAGGGAGAGAACTGTGATGAAAAAGATATAATGGTAGTTAAAGTGAACTTGAGTTACTTCCCTTTATGCGTTTGAGTCTATTATGATTATAGTTGAACATTGTGCTTTCCCCGTACCTATTTTTAATTATTTTGTTGTAATTAAATATACTTATTTATAAATGAAATGTTGATTAATCAACAATGGAGCTTCATTTTTTTCACAGAGAAAAATGAAAGTTTTCTATTTTAAGTCTTGAATTATTGTATCTACACAATATCTCTTTCATAGAATGCCATTATTAAATATATTAACCTGCTTATTGTGTGGTATGAGAGATATACATGCTTTGTGTTGATTATTCTTACTATAATTATGTACTTTTTTCTAAGTATTGTTAAAGCCTGATGGCTTATGAGTGATAAAATTAAAGCAGATATGTTGTATTTTGTGTTTTAATTGGTTGATTTTGTAAATGTTTTAGCTTATCGTTTGTTTTTTATTCCAATTTATTTTTGTACAGTGAATCGTGCCTTGACAATTTTTATATCATACTTTTATACATAAAGATTGGGTATTACCCCTTTGTATACTAATTTCATACTTCATTGATTCTATAATTATACATACATATATATATTTATAATGTGAAGAAAAATTGTTTCTATTAAAATATCATGAATATTGACTGTGTTTTTATCTTTCACTACAGATTATGACTGTGTTCATTAATTTTCATTGTTTTGTTTTTTTGCCCAATTGTAGATGGGATAAAGTATCAATTTCTGGAAAAGAGTGATCCCTCTAAAGCATCAAAATCAGCAAATTTACATGAAAATTGCAGACTAGGTTTAATTGAGTCTGTACATGAGGGATAATGAAAAAGTGCAACATCTCTAATGCCCCCTAGCACCGGTTTGAGTGGTATTCAGTTTGAGAGGTACTCAAATTTCAACACTTAAAAGTGCTGGAATCAATGATCCCGAAGAACCAGAAAAATATAGCTATACTGAAGTGAAGTACAGGGCAAATTTTTATGGCTGCCACATGGCACTTGACACCTGCTGATGTATAAATATCTGAGGAAAAAAAAGAGATCCTTCGGTAGCATAAAAATCAGCAAAATTACATAAAATTGCAGACTTGGTTTGAGTCACATTTTGAAAATTAAAAGTTTATATATGAATTAAATATAGTTTAATTTTGAAACATCTGACTTCTCTTAGGTTGAAACAGACATCGGAAAAGAGGATCAGGACAGTGGTTTAAGCCGTCGTGCTGCTCATCTAAAAAGACCTTGGTTTGAGCCCACTTAGAATAATTATTTCTTATATGATTACAGAACTTGTTAGTCTAAGAGACAAACTTGACACTTGATCTGCTAAGCTTGTACATGTATATTAATGGATTTATTCTGCTTTGAAAATGGGGTCTGTCGAATGCTTCAGGAATTTCAGTAACAGAATACAAATTTGAGCTTCCTTGTCAAAATGTGCAGAAATAGTCCTTACAGTTTTACTTAAGGACGTTTTCGGGAGTTTTCATATAGACATATAGGCAAAATTAAAACTGTTCAATAGAATTTCTTTAAACTTTGCATGTTGTTAGAATATGATAACAGAAACATTTTAAGCGAAAAAAAAATTGGGGTCACCATTCTCGTTTTTGAGTTATCTGCCCCTGAATCAGACTTTTCTACTTATTTGAGGTCATTTCAAGGGCAGATAACTTATACATACTTAAATGAATTCTTGTTTTTACTTCTGGATTATGTTTTTCTTTTTATTGTTGAGTACAATACATAATAACATGCAATTCCTTACATCGTTTCTGTTAATTTTTTTTCAATGAAAATAAAGGTACTTTAAATTCTTAAAAAATAGGCCAATTTTTAAGAAAAAATGCACAGGTTAAAAGAAGAAGTGGGAATAAAAACTACCCACTCTAAATTTGTTCTTGAAATTTTGCATATCAACTAAAACGAAGGTAAGCTTCATGAAAATAAAAAAAAAATGTATTAATTCCCTTCATTGTAAATTATCTGCCCTTGAATTTAACAAAAAAGTCCAATTCAAGGGCAGATAACTCAAAAACAAGAACGGTGACCCCATTTTATTTTCGCCTAAAATGTTTCTGTTAACATATTCTAACAACATGACATTGTCAAGTTTAAAGAAATTCTATTGAACAGTTTTAATTTTGCCTATATGTCTATATGAAAACTCCCGAAAACGTCTTTAAAAAATAAATCCTGTTATATTTTTGCAAAAAAAAAAACCCAAGAAAATCAACTTTGAGGAAAATGAACTAAGATCTAAAAAGAAGCAAAAATATTCACAATTCAAGTAATGATTTGTCTGTTATGTGCAAAACTAAGTGAGGGCTATTTTGCATATTTTGTCCTTCATTGGTAATTAACTTGGATTCAACATGCCATTTGCAATGTGTAAAATTCCTTTCTTTGTTCACTTGACAATATTTTAATTTTGAATACATTTAAAAAAAATTTTCATGAAAATTAGCATGAATCCTTTTTGCTGCTTTTAAGTTATAACAGTAAAGTTCTCAGTTTTATGCATATCCTCATTTTACAACTTTTAGTACAAAAATGACAATATAACATTTATCCGTGCCTCCTTTTAAACTTTATGCAATTGGTAACCCTTAGTTATATAAGTTTATCTTACGGTTATATAAAAACATATTTCAAGTGTACCAGATTAATTTCATCAGTTAATGTTATCTTATCAACTGATAATAAATTATCACATATATACATAAATTGATGTTTGATACTATAAAGTTATATTCATAGGCAAAATATTTGAACATTCTACCCAAGTTACATTTGGATATATATCTTAATTAAGTCTAGAGATGTCTGAAAAGGTACTAAATTCACTAATTCACCCATCCTCGGAGTTAAAAATAAATTCTGTATGATGTTACTTTTAATTATTGTATAAATGGTACTGAATAGAGAGGTACATGAATTTTGTTGAAAATTTTACCAACAATATTCATTATTAATTAATTGCATACATAGATGGCATAATGGAATTCGATTTTATCCTCTGGTTAAAGAAATGGTTGCTATGGTAATGTAAACAATTAATTTATATATTATAAGAATATTGCAGGAGAACTGTATAAAGGTTAAAGGCTGATAAAACTCAGTACACCTTCATTAAAAAACGTGAAATTTTACTGAGTAAATTTAATGTGTTTAGGAATTGACTTTTGTAGGACAATTGCATAGATCCAATCTCTTAAAATATATGTTTTATTTGATTTTGTTAAATACATTTGCAGTACTTTGATAATACTATATGGAATGCTTAAATTGATTTATCATTGTTGTATTTGAAATACCCGTCGCTTTAAACTTTACGTAAGTAGCCGATTTTCTTCACGTTTGTGGTCACGTGTATTTGTTAAAAATATATATCTGTATTAAAGGGGAAGCGTTGGTAATTGAAGTGTATTGACCACGGGTACAATCACTACTACAAAATACAAAGAAGTTTTTTTGTAAAGCTAGTATATAATGGAGATAGCTTTACAAAAAAGTATGGAGATTAGTCCTAGTACAAGTATCTCAAGCTGTAATATTTAGTCATTTAGATTTGAAAGATGATCTCGTTTTCAAACATCGGTACAGTACTGTATGGATTTTAAAAACGTGGCCGCGGTAATTATTCTAGTTGAAATATTTAAGCCCAGTTTCTAAGTTAGCTTTGCGTTATTTCATTCATAAACCTAAAGATGAGAGGGATAAAAAAATGATAAATTAATAAATAAAACAAAATTTATTTTATACCTGACCGCATCGACACAAAATGCTCGGAAAAAGGGTGATGTAGGATGAAATTCAAAACGTAAACTTGTACTGTACCCAGTACGGAGCTGAGTTGGTTTGTAACAAACTGTTGATTTTCAAAAATTACATGTATACACACACATGCAGTTATTTCACTTTGATCATAGGAACCACAAAGAACGAACAGCGAAAATTTGAAATTTAGACTAGATAAAAATTACGTGAGCCACGTGACCGCACGATATTTCATCTACATCATGCGGTTTCAAAGAGTGTTCCAGGGTTCAAATGTTATCTGTATATTTTTTATGTTCATAGATATTCAGTCAATATGTATGGGGATACGTATTTTACGTTTTTTTCAGTCAGTCAAATCGCTCGTCCGTAAATTAATAAGGTTAGATAACAACCCAATGCTCCTTTAATACGATAAGCAAATCACGTGATGAAACTACCCTGTACAAGTGACAAGTGCGAGTGCACTTTTTAATCATTAATGCTTTTGCTGCTTTCACGAAAACGCCAAAATGACATCTGTTCATAATAACAAAACTTTTACACAGGACAGTTTAGTACAAAATGGAACTAACAACTCTTACGGAATCAAACCAGATGCTACACATATTTGGGTTCCAGCAGAAGGAAATAAGCAAGGTTCAGGGAAAGAATCTTCAAAAATAAATAGGAATTTTTCAACAGGTACAACGGTTGGGAAGGGCTCAACTATCACCATACATGACATTAACTATACAGTTAAAGTGAAAACAAAAGCATGCTGCGGGAAAACTACAGACAAAGCGATTCTGAAAGGAATAGAGTAAGTACATACATGTATATGTTGATCAGTATTCGGATAGATTTTATTTGGACATATGATCACAGGAGCTTGAAATTCTATCAATAATCGCTCAAAAGTCTGATTAAAAAAAAATCCATACCTATATATTTTATATATAGGTATGGATTTTTTTTTATTACATGTTTTGCAGTAGATTACTGAATTATAACGGTTAATTATATTCTGATAATTTCACAGTAATGATTACCAAATATAATTTCACAGTAGCCGAACTATATTTGGCGTAAAAATAAAATATTTATCATTAATGAATGTTTTTTTAAGCGGAAATGTAGTCAATCATAATAAAAAATGTACGTGATAACTGTAGTTCGTAAATATTTACGAACGTTGTGCTGAAAAACATCTAAAATCTAAAAATAATCATTGAATTATATTTTGCTTCAACATTGTGACGTCATTATTTGATGACGTCATGAAGATAAGAGCATGGCGTTACGCGGCAAAAATCAGTAAAATGGTGTAAAAATCGTTAAAAAATCATGAAATAAACAGAAAATTTGTTTGTTTTACATGTAAGATCAAATAATATTTCACTCGTGAACCCCAGCTATTATATTTTCACTCGTGGCTACGCCACTCGTGGAAAATATTGCATCTGGTGTTCACTCGGTGAAATATTTTTCGATCTTACACTGAAACAAACAAATATCCTCTATTTAATCAGACTTTTGAGCGATTTGAGTCTGATTAAAAAAAAATCCATACCTATCCCGGATATATATAAAAAAATTTATATATAGGTATGGATTTTTTTTTAATCAGACTTTTGAGCGATTATTGATAGAATTTCAAGCTCCTGTGATATGATAAAAAAAATGTTGTAAATCAGGAAAGCTATCGTTCTGGTAAAGAATTTCAGCTGATACTGACATGCTGATAAGTTTTACTTTCAAGTGCTATATTTCTATCATTATTAAATTTGTACTAGTTTACAGTATATCAGGATACTGTAGATTTCTTTTCCTGTTAATTACTGTTATTTTATTTATATTAGCCTAAAGTTTTTAGATTATATTAAATGATTAACATAAAAATGTCTAGTTTCTTTTTATTTCCAGTGGAAAATTTCAGCCTGGAATGAATGCCATTCTTGGACCAACTGGCAGTGGAAAATCCTCGTAAGTCCTATTTGTTTGAAATTTAGAGCTACATAGTTATATAATAATTCTTTCCTTAACATTTACCATTTATATATGAGAAGGTATGTATCCTGTTGGATTTATAGAACACATATTCTAAGGTACCATATATAACAGCAATTATATGCTTAATCTAACAAAAGTCAAGATAATTATAATGTTCATTATAAAGAATGTTTGCAGAAAGAAGAAGTTTTCTTCAGTATGGAATAGTTTTAACTTAAAGGGACTCCACTGAGGTTTAAAAGCCTAAAAACATAACATTTGAATATCTTACATAAATGAGCTTGGGCACTTTGAACAGAAATATATGCAAAGATAGTTAAGAAATTTTAATACTTTGAAATAAATTGAAAATCGTATTTTTATGCTTTTCTTGGCCTGATTTGAGTGAAAAGCATTTAAACACTTTTCCTTTTGGGTCATTTTTTACAATTTGAATAATTATTCTGGAGAAAAAAGTGTGCAAATGATCTGAAATTTTGCAAAAAGATAAGTGGTCTAAAACTACATCAAATGATACATTTATTTGGAAAAAGTATTTTCAGTCCCATCATGTCAAAATACCGTGGTGGAGTCCCTTTAATATGGTGTATAAGTACTTTACTGTATTTAACCTAATAAGTTAACATGATACGATACATAGTAATTTATGGTTAAGTATTATTTTGTCAGTTATTTATTCTGTCTGATTGTGTTGTACAAGTTATATGGAATAATGGCATTTGCCTTTTCTTTTTATGCTATTTATGTTTTAAGAGTTATTGCCCTTGAACTGATTAACTGTTACTCGATGGCATATTTGAGTTTGTTGGCTTATATACTTATTGTCAGTTTTGCTTAATTGTAGCAATGAAATTTTAAAGGGTGTATTTCAAAGAGAAATATTTTTTTTTGCAAACTTTAACTCATTCATAACTTATTCATAGCTGCATGCCTTTAGATATTAAGCAAACAATTTTTCAAGAAATCAACTTTAAAAATAAAAAAGCCCATAATATTTTCATCTCATTCCTTATCTTTGATAGGAATCCTAGGACAGTTTTGTAATTTCTAGGCGAACATAAAATTAATGATTTCATTTCATTTAATGATTTTTTTTGTTCAAAAAATGTTATTTTATGTATTTTAGGTTACTGGATGTTTTAGCAGGAAGGAAAGATCCCACAGGTCTAACAGGGACATTGCTTTTAGATGGTTGTCCACCACCAGACAATTTCAAATGCATGGTGGGATACGTTGTTCAGGTACGTTGATTCCTCGATACTTTAATTTATAGACACCCCCAGAAACTCATATGAGTGACTCATTTCAGAAGACTGGGAGTCATTTGTTTTTTTGCGTATAATGGAATGGACACAGACTTACCCCATTCCAAGAGTTACAGCTGTTTCTTATCTTTTTGTAAACTGGGATGAATGCTTGTTAAATGTTTATATTGCAATATCATATGACTTGTTGCTTACCATTTCTTTATATTTTTGCGGCCTTTGTTGCCTTGTTGTTAAAGTGGCAGGCTTTGTACCCTTTGTCCATCATCATTATGGGTTCAAATCATGAATAAGAATTTGAATTATTTAATTGAAGATTAATTCAAGATAGCTTAATGAGGGTGAGCACTCAAGTGCCTGTTTGTGAATAAAATTATAATACTCAATAAAGCACCTTGGTAGGTCCTCCACACTACAGCTAGAAAGTCACTATAAAGAATTAGGAGTTATGAAGTGATAAATCTCGTAACCCAACCTCCCTCAGCAAAAAATCTACCTTATTTGGCAAATTTGATATGGGTGACTGATGCTATTATACAACACTTACGGTAAGTTACCTAAACAGAACATTCTGAACTGAATTTTATATATCCAACATATGTTATGCAAGGATGAACTTTTATAGTGTACTAAACCTACTTCTCTTTTTAATTTCGCCAAAATAATATTCTTGCTTTGTCATTTCTAAACTCAGTGGATATAGGTCAATGAACAGAACATTGTAATACACTTTAGTTAAAAAATGTAGCAAGACTTTAGTATATATAACACATCACCTTAGTGCAGTAACAGGTTAACTTTTATTAAATTATATAAGGAGTTACCATTACTGCACTAAGGTAACAAATAGAACATTCAGCTTCATTGCTAGCTTCTTTATTTAAGTACTGGATATTATTGACTCTAAGCCAGCCGGTGGCAACAGATTCCGCCAAGGTTGTGACCAGTTTAGACCAAGATTAACTGTCATATTTGTGCCATTTTATCATGGTCTGCACTGTTTACTATTCAGTCTGTAAATATAATGAATTTTTCCCCTAAAAATGATGAATGGTTTTGTCCAGATTAAAAGATGGACAAGTCCATTTAAGATCTTTAAAAGGGTTAAAATTCATTAAATCACAGAAACTGATAATAAAATTCATAAAATGAAATGAGAAAGTAGCGATAACATTGTCTTGTTTTGAAAACATTGTTGGACTGGTGTTTGTTTAGATTGAGATGTTGCCCTTATTAATTTATCTGCAGATTTAGTTTGTCAATTTATTTAGATAACATGAATGCTTTTTTAGTGGCATTGTGCCTTAATGGATACACCATAGAGTTATAAGTAGAGTTAGACTCACTGATTTAATTGTATTTTTTTGTTGGGGACAGTTTTTAAGCTACGTACTGTGTCTTTTCAGTTTCACATTTATTAATATAGCAAACTTGAAAGAAGACAAAAATTTAGAAAGAAGGGAGCAATTACTGTATTAGTGGTTAAAGGGACTCCACTGAGGTTTAAAAGCCTAAAAACATAGCATTTGAATTTCTTACATACATGAGCTGGGACACTTTTAACAGAAATATATTCAAAAATAGTTAAGAAATATACTTTGAAATAAATTGAAAATCATATTTTTATGCTTTTCTTAGCCCAATTTGAGTGAAAAGCGTTTAAATGCTTTTCATTTTTGGTCATTTTGTTACAATTTGAATAATAATTCTGGAAAAGCAAAGTGCATGAATGATTTGAAATTTTGCTCAAAGATAAGTGGTCTAAACCTTCATCAAATGGTACATTTATCTGAAAAATATATTTTCAGACTATCATGTCTAAAAACCTCAGTGGAGTCCCTTTAAGTTAGCACTGAGTAAATATTGACAAATGATGAAAATCGCTTAAATACCCAGTATCAACCTGTCATTAAATTCTACCCTTGTACAGTTTGCTAATATTTTCTTACGCAAATTACTTATCGTCATGCGGAAATATCCACTTATACAATTCTATACAGTACTATCCAAATAGTTTCATTTATTTTCAATTTTCCTTGCTCAGCATAAGCTTAGTGCAGATTTGTGTGAAGTGGTAATAATTTACCTCCATGCAATTTCCACTGAGTATTAGCCAAAGATATGAATTTTGAGCCAGAAGTAGGTCACTGTATGGCTGTCAATGAGAACCAAAATGTACAGTAACCTGAGACAATAATGTAAGAAAGTAGCCCTAAAAAGGGCTGTTTGTGCCAAGCAAAGGGCTTGCCTTACAAGCTGTCTATCTGTGCTACGGGCTTACACACCCTAGAGCACCATCCTGGTTGTCTCTGCCTACGTCATAGGGCCACTCCCCTTGGCTTTAGTCAGGACAAATAAGGCTTCTTCTCTTTCGAAGATTGGGCCTGACTCTTTTAGACAGGCATATTACATCAGATAATAAAATATGGTCCTTTTCTAGTTAAAATAAAGTTGTCACTGACATTATTCAACGACATATGAGAAATTAAAATGTTACAACAAAACTTTATTATGCATTACAAACCTCAATGGCATAAATGTATAATATTGTAGTCAGTACATGTAGAACGCAGAATGTGATTATAAAATGGAAAAATATAAGCACAAGAATCTATATCTCATGATTGCATTATACACCATTATCATGCATGAATTATATCATTAATGAAATGTTGTGATTTAAACACATTTTAATGGAGGTAAATTATTAATGTCCTCTATAAATTTATTTTGTTAAAGCACTTAGTGGGGAATTTAGAAACACATTCTACAAAGTAGAACACGCTTATGCTGGCACAGTTTTTGTTTATTTAAGTAAGTATGTAATGTAATGAATAATAAGTTTTTACTGAAAAAAAGAAGAAAAAAAAAGAAGACCAATCTTTCAGACCAACATTTATACTGCAAATATTGTGTTTTAAGACCAACATTTCAACTGCAAATATTGTTTTTCAGACCAACATTTCAACTGCAAAACATTGTGTTTTATTTACAGGATGATGTTGTCATGGGAACTTTGAGTGTGAAGGAAAATTTCCATTTCTCTGCGGCTCTTCGGTTACCACCGACAGTGTCGGCAGAAGAGAGGGAGGAGAGAGTACAGAATGTTATAGCAGAGCTGGGTCTTCAACATTGTGCTAACACTAAGGTACAGTAATAAAAGAACAAAAATCTTATATCAGAACTAAGCCTTTAACTTAATGTGCTAACACTTAGGTATAGTAATAAGAAAACAGAATGTTATATCAGAACTAAGCCTTCAACATTGTGCTGACACTAAGGTATAGTAATAAGAGAAAAAAATGTTATATCAGAACTCTGTCTTCAACATTTTGCTTACACTAAGGTATAGTTATAAGAAAACAGAATGTTATATCAGAACTCGGTGTTCAACATTTTGCTGACACTAAGGTATAGTTATAAGAAAACAGAATGTTATATCAGAACTTTGTCTTCAACATTTTGCTAACACTAAGGTATAGTTATAAGAAAACAGAATGTTATATCAGAACTCGGTGTTCAACATAGTGCTGACACTAAGGTATAGTTATAAGAAAACAGAATGTTATATCAGAACTTTGTCTTCAACATTGTGCTAACACTAAGGTATAGTTATAAGAAAACAGAATGTTATATCAGAACTTTGTCTTCAACATTGTGCTAACACTAAGGTATAGTTATAAGAAAACAGAATGTTATATCAGAACTTTGTCTTCAACATTGTGCTAATACTAAGGTATAGTTATAAGAAAACAGAATGTTATATCAGAACTTTGTCTTCAACATTTTGCCAACACTAAGGTATAGTTATAAGAAAACAGAATGTTATATCAGAACTTTGTCTTCAACATTGTGCTAATACTAAGGTATAGTTATAAGAAAACAGAATGTCATATCAGAACTTTGTCTTCAACATTTTGCTAACACTAAGGTATAGTTATAAGAAAACAGAATGTTATATCAGAACTTTGTCTTCAACATTGTGCTAATACTAAGGTATAGTTATAAGAAAACAGAATGTTATATCAGAACTTTGTCTTCAACATTGTGCTAATACTAAGGTATAGTTATAAGAAAACAGAATGTTATATCAGAACTTTGTCTTCAACATTTTGCCAACACTAAGGTATAGTTATAAGAAAACAGAATGTTATATCAGAACTTTGTCTTCAACATTGTGCTAATACTAAGGTATAGTTATAAGAAAACAGAATGTTATATCAGAACTTTGTCTTCAACATTTTGCCAACACTAAGGTATAGTTATAAGAAAACAGAATGTTATATCAGAACTTTGTCTTCAACATTGTGCTAATACTAAGGTATAGTTATAAGAAAACAGAATGTTATATCAGAACTTTGTCTTCAACATTTTGCTAACACTAAGGTATAGTTATAAGAAAACAGAATGTTATATCAGAACTCGGTGTTCAACATTGTGCTGACACTAAGGTATAGTTATAAGAAAACAGAATGTTATATCAGAACTTTGTCTTCAACATTGTGCTAACACTAAGGTATAGTTATAAGAAAACAGAATGTTATATCAGAACTCGGTCTTCAACATTTTGCTAACACTAAGGTATAGTTATAAGAAAACAGAATGTTATATCAGAACTTTGTCTTCAACATTGTGCTAATACTAAGGTATAGTTATAAGAAAACAGAATGTTATATCAGAACTTTGTCTTCAACATTTTGCTAACACTAAGGTATAGTTATAAGAAAACAGAATGTTATATCAGAACTCGGTCTTCAACATTTTGCTAACACTAAGGTATAGTTATAAGAAAACAGAATGTTATATCAGAACTCGGTCTTCAACATTTTGCTAACACTAAGGTATAGTTATAAGAAAACAGAATGTTATATCAGAACTGGGTCTTCAACATTGTGCTAACACTAAGGTATAGTTATAAGAAAACAGAATGTTATATCAGAACTCGGTCTTCAACATTTTGCTAACACTAAGGTATAGTTATAAGAAAACAGAATGTTATATCAGAACTCAGTCTTTGAAAATGTTATAGTTATTACGCAATAAGTGTATAATTTTATCTTTGAGATTTCTAGTCACAGGTTTTATCGATTTAAACGATTCAAATGGAAACTTGGTTTGATAAAAGGTTACAGATTGATTATCATAGTCTATGATAGACAGTGACTAGGAAGGTCATATCGTAGCATTAAATTTAGAAATTATAAATGTAACGGATTGTTTTGATGTTATGTCTTCCTGGTTTGAGCAAGACATACATGTAATATACGTTTAGGATTTATATTGAAGTGTCCAAATTTACTTGTTTAAATTGGAGATGTATATAAATTAACAGATAAAACAACATTTTCAGAAAGATAAATACATGTTATGTTACCTAATTTTTATGTTTTTAATCTGGTATAAACTATTTACGTAATGGATATTGTTGTCAGATTTATTGATAAGCCTTCACATGTTGCCATTTTCAGGTTGGGAATGAGTTCATACGTGGCGTGTCTGGAGGTGAACGTAAGCGATGTAATATCGGAATGGAGTTGATTATCTCCCCTCCTGTACTATTTTTAGACGAGCCAACCACAGGCCTGGATGCCAACACAGCTAATACTGTCATGTTATTGCTGAAAACGTATATAATAAATGTTTTGTGTTTTATTTTCTGTATTTATTTTATTTTCTTGACAGTTGATATCATGTAAAATTTCTTTATTTAAGTACACCATGCATATATGTATTTAGATGATGCAAATATGTATGGAGGGACAAGTAAACACTTTATAAGACTGTTCTTGATAAGGGTACCTGGAAAATCTAAAATTTTTGAAGGGAGTTAATAAATATTCAGTGCCAACATTTGCTGTCCACAGTATGGCTTAAATAATATTTACATGCAGTTACAATTATGGATATTTCTTTACAATCAAGTACCTAAAATTTGTAAATAAGTTTCCTAATTCAAATATAGGAAAATTGTTACAATAGAAAATTGTTTTTAATTCTTTCTTCTTTATAATAGGTAACAGTTTTATTTCATTATTTTTTGCCTTTCTAATAAGATCCATTTCAACCTATTTTCCAGTTTAGCGATGCGCGGACGGACAATCATTTTCTCGATACATCAGCCTAGATACAGTATATACAGATTGTTTGACAACCTCTGTCTATTATCTATGGGAGAGGTTGTTTACCATGGCAACTGTGATGAATCTCTACAATTTTTCCAGACAATAGGTACAAATTCTCAAAAATTTTGTTGACCGTTTTTAAAGAAGTAAGGTTCATACAGGCATCCAGCGAATTTACTTTGTGCAAATGAAGTCCATGTGAATATAATAATAAGAATTAAGATAGACTTACAAGCAATTTTTACTTTACATACTTGTTCATCTGACTCTTTTGGTAACATAGATTAAGATATAAAATGTTTTAACAAGGTTTTCCAATTGAAAATCTGATTAGAATTTGGTGAATGTCAGCAGACGGCTGTGAGCCTAATTATTTCTTCTGTTTACTGACATTGCTATAGGGATTTCAGTCAATCTGTCAAAGAATTATTATCATCAAGTGCTATGTTACATATTTTCTTGATATCGTGAGTTGATCGCATTTGGAAGAATAATGGTCCTTTGTTTTTATATTCACATATGTTATATTGGCAAGTATCATTGTGACTAGCTGATTGTGACAGTTGTAAAACTGTTACATTTACCATAGATGTTCGCAACACGGCAAATGTGTAGTTTTCCTATCTCATTGCAGGTACAAATCTTTTACTGTTACAACTTGGTAAATATATCGATAATTAGCGTAAAATGTTAATGGTAAAGCACCATGGTAAAAGTACCCCGGGTTAGAAGGGAAAAACCCATATTTGCTGAGTTTCGGATAACATCTACTTGTATTGTCACTTGAACTGAAAATATAGCATTTGTGTTTTCTTTATGCCTTAATAAAATCCTCTCACCACAGACCGCCTGCAGCTCATCACTTCCCTTCTTTTTCTCCGAAAAAAAAATGACAAAGTGCCAAAATATTCAACAAAACAAATATTTTTGTATATTATAGGTTATTCTTGTGAGGAGCATAACAACCCACCAGATTTTTTCCTGGATGTTATAAATGGAGATCCTAATGCAGTTACCAGTGATATCAATCAGATAATCTCAAGTACAGGTAAATATTTTCAATACTGAACCTACATAACACATATAAAATGTGTGCATCTCCATCTACATAATTTGATAGGGAGAGCATCAGATTTATAATCCACGAAATATTTGTTTTTTAAGAATTTTGAAGTGGATATTTTATGAAGGATAACATAATAAATATGTAGATTTTTTTAATTTTTCAAGATGATTTTATTTGTGTTTCAGATATGGAAAAGGTTTCCCTTGGTGGAGGTAAGAAACACTTATTATTATGCTATTTTTCGTAAAACAATATTTTACAATCGGCAAAATACTGCTTTACATATTACTATATTTCTTGCAGTAACTTTTATTACAGTAAATAATGAATTTCATTCTCTATATGCCTGCTTTTACATATTTTACACTTTGATTTCAATGTCTGAACCTTTACCCTGCTTGAAACAAAAGTGAAACCACTACCACCAGTACAAAGCCAGGCCAGCCTGCACATCCATGTAGTCTGTCCAGGCTTTATACTGTTGGATTACTTACTTTAAATTTAAAACATCACCAAATTTGATCATTTACTATTCCAAAACTGGAATAGTCCATTCAAAGGAGCTCCACTGAGGTCCTAAAGCCTAAAAAACATAAGCTTTTAATATCTTAAATATATTAGCCGAGTCACTTAAACCAGAAATATTTGAAAATGATACATGTAATTAAGAAAGTATAATCAAAATTTACAGTGTTTATTAAAAATCAAGAGTCATTGCAATTTATAGCTCAAAAATCATTATTCTGGAAAAACAGAGTGAAAAAATGATCTGAAATTTTGCACATACAATATTGATTTATACCAACATTAATAGGTATAAAAAATCTTGAAAAATATTTCCAGTCCAATCATGTAAAAAAAAAAAATCAGTGGAGTCCCTTTAAGAAAATTCAGCAGGTTATGGGTTAATGCTTCATTTATATTAATACACTGACTTGAGCTGCTTTTGGCTTAGGTGTGTGTAAATTTATATTATAATGTATTAATTGATATTAATTGATTTTCTCTATATTGCATCAGAGGCTGGTAGTAGTAAGTGTAATTCTGCTTATATATAACTCATCCTAGACTTACTGATAAAAGCATGCATGTTGGTGTAGACAAAACTGAAAATTAAAGGGGCATGCCTGTTTATTTACATATTACATATACATTGTGCTTAATCATTTTAAATTTAGAAGTCCCGATGACAATGTCCACAAATAAGACCACTTTGATTAAGAAGTTCAGGATTTTTTTACTCCACAAAACATTCTTTATTATACAATTGAAATAAAGCTAAATTCAGCATTTTCAGGTTTTCTAACATTTTGAACTTGCGCCCAGTATATTTCCAAAGGAATAAAGTTGTTATTGGCGAAATTACCAATGTCACTAAATTCAAATATCATCTTGCCCTATTGTATGTTCAAATCTGGCGTAACAAGCTGCATTCCTTAATTTCTTTGAGTAATACAGTTAATTTTTACCTTTAACCATTGAAGTGTGAGTGGTTCTATTTGGATATTATACTGTTAAATAATGGAATGTCAGTGGTTCTTCCTCTGAATACAAGGTTTGATTGTGGAATGTCAGTGGTGCTACCTGAACACTATATGTTTTGCTTAAGGAATGTCAGTGGTTCTTCCTCTGACAACATGATTGTGGAATGTCAGTGGTGCTACCTAAAAATTATATGATTTGCTAATAGAATCTCTGTAATGCTTCCTCTGACTACATGGTTTGCGTGTAGAATGTAGAATTTCAGTGGTGCTTGCTGTGAACTATATTTGCTAATGGAATGTCTGTGGTGCTTCCTCTGACTACATGGTTTGCGTGTAGAATGTCAGTGATGCTTGCTGAGAACTATATTTGCTAATGGAATGTCTGTGGTTCTTCCTGGGACTATATGATTGTGGAATGTCGTGGTGCTACCTGAAAACTATATGATTTGCTAATGGAATGTCTGTGGTGCTTCCTCAGACTACATGGTTTGCTAATGGAATGTCTGGTTCTTCTTCATACTACGTGATTGTGGAATGTCAGTGGTGCTTGCTGAGAACTATATTTGCTAATGGAATGTCGCTGGTTCTTGCTTAAGCCAGACATGATGCATGGAAGTTGTGCATTGAGTTCCACCTGTCCCAGCTAGGGTTGCTTGTTTAATATGGTGCTAGGTAGGAAAATAAAATGTTCCAACTTTTCCTCCAGGCATGCCTCTTTAACATCATTACTAGTTTTACTAGTGTACTTTTAAACTTGTATCATTAATGTTTAAACATATGTGAAGGGGATTGCAGTTTAATAATGTTTTTAAAGTTAATGTTTTATGATATATCAAAAATTAAGGGAGGACTGAGATGAAAGTAACCAGAATTCATGTTTAATTTAAAGACTTAGACTTTCACTCAATACTATTATTAGTCATCAAAAAGAAATTTCTTTATTAAATTTGCAACACATCAAACATTTGATTCTTCTGATTTGAATGACATAAGTTTTATAAAGTACACTATTTATACAATAACTGTGAATTTAAAAAAATCATACTTGTTTATTACTGCCTATATAAAGATTTATATTCAGCATGTATGTTTTTGGCCAGATTCTAGTTTAGTATGTACAGAAAGTGTATGTAAGAGGCAGATTTTGCCACTCTGACGCCACTCTGACTAAAGCTCAGGATTTAATTTCAGGTTTGCGTTTCATGGAAAGTCTTAGGTCTAAAATATGTCTTAAGAGCAAAACTGAGACAATTTTTGTTTCAAAGAAAATGTCCTCCTAAATTATGACTTCAGTTTTTACACATATACATTTACACATTGCCGATTAAAGGGCATGATATTGAATTTGTAAGTCTTAAGTCTAAAACTTTTACTTAAGATGAAAATATTTATTGAAACGGTCTTAAGTTAGTCCTATTGTTTGTTGTAAGGGTAAGGACTTGGATACACTTACGACTTTCTATGAAATGTAGCCTAGATCTTCTTACATTTCATACTGACTGATTGAAAGGTCACAAGAAGGTGACCTCTTATTGGTGACAGTCAGATCCTTAAAGCATAGCTGCTAGTGTAGGAGTGATATTCATCAGATAGCATATTTTCCCATGTGAAATTATGCAGGGTTGCTAAAATTGATGGTAGTCTATATTTTAACCATTTCCTAACTTAGATCATGTAAAACTTATTGTCTTCTATCTAATCATAAATCCTGGTTTTTTAGTGATCAGACATGATTATGTTGAGGGTAGGTAACATTAAATTTAATTATTAAACATTTCCCTCCTTCCAGGCAATCAAAATATTATACCTCATTTGGTAAATGAACCTTCCTTACAAGAAATATTTGGGTAATTGTAGAGTTTCTCCTCCACTCTTCCTCCCTCACCAATGCAATTATCTGTTACTTTCAGGTGATAGGAGGACAATGCTTTTTGAACCTTTGCCAGTGACTTTGGGGTCTTTCCTGTGAGAAAGCTATCCAGCTGGCTTACAGAATGTCAGTGGTTCTACTAAGACACCATCTGTGCCTGAAATAATGCACATACATTTGTAGAAGCACCTGAGGTCTTCCTCCAACAATAAAAGTTGGAAAGTTGCCATATAACCTCTACTGTGTTGGTCCAAAGTGAAATCCAAGCACACACCCCCTCCCCCCCAAAAGAAAGGATACCCCCCCCCCCCCCAAAAAAAAAAAAAAAAAAAAAAAAAGAAAAAAAGGATACCCCCCCCACAAAGGATAAATAAATAAATGAAAAATGAAAAAAAAAAAAAAGTAGATAATCATAAAGAGTAGGGATATCATTTTAGAATATATCATTTTACAATATCAATTACAATGATTAAAAAACATTTTAAGAATGTCGAGCATATGTGAATGTACTGAATGCACTTTTAATCAAATCACAAGTTTCTACCACTCACAATATCTTTATGTTACAATGATGATAAAGTTGTTTGACTTGGGTATATATCTTGATAAATTAAGTAGGATTCTTTAGGGGTATATAAAATTAAATTCTAGTTTTTCAAATCTCTGATCAGTGTATTAAGTATAAATATCTTAGTTTATTTAATACATTTACATTTGATGGATTGCTTAGAAGTGCATGTCCTGTTGTCTCTGATTGAATGTATAGTTCACATCTTTAGCTCAATAGGTAGAGCATCGGGTTTGTAATCATGGGGTTACTTGTTCGATCCTCTGCCGAGACAAAATTTCTTGGTGACAGATTAATCTAATGGCCATTTGAGCCGCGTCACGACAAAACCAACATAATGTGTTTGCGACCAGCATGGATCCAGACCAGCCTGCGCATTTGCGCAGTCTGATCAGGATCCATGCTGTTCGCTTACAGACCCTATAACAAGTAAAGAAACTGATAGCGAACAGCATGGATCCTGATCAGACTGCGCGGATGGGCAGGCTGTCTGGATCCAAGCTGGTCAAAAACCCATTATATTGGTTTTGTCGTGACGTGGCTCATTTGTCTCCCACAACTGATTCTCTCACCACTGACTCAGAACTAATCATAATGTGGGACTAGTAGTCGTGTCACTAGAGGAGAATTTGGTATATTTACTGGTTAGTTATCAAGGCAAACTGGTTAGGTGAACTGAGACTTACCATGGAGACATGACAAAAAAAATGTGTCAGAATCTGAATAAAAAACAGATAAACAAACAGTACTTGAATGACTTCTTATACTGTGTTTGGTTTTTAATCCCCTTTCGCATAGCGGAAAGGGGATTATAAGAATGGCCTCTGTCTGTCAGACCAATCCGTCCGTAACACTTTTGTGTCTGCTAATAACCTTTAAACCGCTGGAATTTTTGTTAAATAACGTGGCACAAGTGATCACCATAATAAGACAATATGCAGAGAGCAATAACTGGGTTGCTCCCCCAAGATCAAGGTCACACTTAGAGGTCAAATGTTCAAAAGTCTTCATTTCATAATAATAAGTCTACATTTTGTGTCTGCTCCATAACTTTTAAACCACTGAATATGTTTTGAAATAACTTGGCACAAGTGATCACCATAATGAGACGATGTGCAGAGCGCAATAATTGGGTTGCTACCCGCAAGGTCAAGGTCACACTTAAAGGTCAAATGTTAGAAAGTCTACGTTTCGTGTCTGTCCATAACATTTAAAACGCTGGAATATTTTTATGATAACTTTGAAATGATCACCATTATGACACCATTGACAGAGCACAATAATCAAGTCACAACCCTGAAGGTCAGGGTGCAGAGCTCAACATCCAGTTTGCTACACCCAAGGTCAAGGTCAGGGTGCAGAGCTCAACATCCAGTTTGCTACACCCAAGGTCAAGGTTAATATGTTCTCCATAACTTTTTGACTTTATGGAAGATTTTAAATAACTTTGCACAATAACCATCAAGGTCTTGGTTGGTAAAATGTCAAGAAGTACACATTCATGTTCACTGCAAAAGAAGATTTAGCTGTGCTTCAGACTGCCTTGTAATCATAAGCACAGAAATACTTAAGGTCTTTTTTTGTAACAACGTAATAGAGACGCTGATGCAATAGTAACAAATCTTAGATTTGAGGAAAATATTAGCATATCAAACACAAGCCAGAGTCTCCTGATTCCATGGAAAAAATGTAAGCTTAAGGCATGGGCCTCCATTGTAATGTGTTAGCTAAAGTCATGGGCCTCCATGAAAAAAATGTACCAGTAAGCTAAAGACATTTGCCTCCCCAATAAAATGTTAGCTATAGGCTTTGGCCTCCATTGTTATATGTAAGCTAAAGGCATGGGCTTGCATGGAAAAATGTAAAGGTAAGTTAAAGGCAATGACCTCCCTTATAAAATGTAAGCTGAAAGCTTGGGCGTTGATTGTAGAGCGTAAGCTAAAGACATGGGCCTCAATGGTAGAATGTAAGTTAAAGGCATGAGCCTCCATGGTAAAGTATAAGCTATACATCAAACCATGCATCTATGAAAATTTGAGAAAAAAATGTCAAATTGACAAAGACAATTTTCCATAAACATACCTTTTAGTGCAATGAAACTCTACTCTCTATTGAAATTTGAAGATATATTTCTGAATATTGAGACTGCATGTATTTATCTTTAAGTAACACGTGTTTTGTTTGTTATATAAATGATTGTGTCAATGACCTTGTGTAAGGCTATGTTATGTAAGTTGGATAATGAGAAATTGAATAAATGTTTAGGAAACTACCCGCCTATATGACTGAAATACTGTTGGAAAAAGGCGTAAAATGACACAAACAAACAAACAAACGAATAAATGTCCTGAAATATTGAAGGCTTGGTAAAAAAATGCTTGTATCATGTACTAGATAAAGTAGGACATGTCAACATTTTGTTGTAACGTCATTGATAAAAAAGATATAATTTATGTGTTATATAAAAGTATTTTTTGTTTTAAACTTTACGTAAATGCACCCATAATCAAATGCACATTGGTAGCTTTTTTCCCCTATGTTTTTATCTCTGTTATGTAAGTTTGATTAATGCTGTTTCCATAATGTATCTGGACTTGCATAGTTTACCAAGAAAAGAAATAATGATTTAGATTTAGTACTTTGGCAGTACATGTATATTATACTGTAAAGCTATATATCTGTTGCCGGTAGTTTTCTAAGTCACTGTTTGTTACATGTATTTTGAAAAAGATTAATTCCATCTACATGTATATGAAAGAAATATTTTGAACATTTTCATAAGATCAAATGACCATGCATGAAATCCTTGGTTGGAAGTTAAAACTCTAATTAAAATAGTATTCCATATATTGTTCTGGAACATTTTATTCTGTTTATTTTCAAGATTCAATTGTTAGACATTTACTGGGAGAACTGTTCAGATAATCAACCATATGAGTATGGAAACGACAGTAATTTTACCGTTAATAAATTTAATAAAAATATTTCATTTTATCACATGCCCATGCCGCTTTTGTGACTTCGTAAATATGATATTGCACGGCTGTGCATACATTTTGAGGTGATGTCATTTGCCTGATACAAATAATGTGTAAAGATGCACTAAATGTTAGCATTATACTATAGCATGTCAGTGAAAAATGATTCTTTTTCACTTTTTTAACAGTCTATATTTTGGGTATGCAATAAAAAGAATAAATTATATTTATGTAGGTTCATTACTAAATTTACTGAACTTGTTGAATGAATAATAATTCAGAATTGAACTAACACACATTTAATATCCTCTGTATGTACACATATAGCTTTATACCATTTTAATGCAAAAATAGTGTATGCTAGTCTATGGTGATGCTATAAACAAACTTCTGAATTTTTTATTGTACAGATTTATATTGCTATTCCTGTTTGGAAAATAAAACAATGTATTTTGAATTCGCCCATATTTATTGAACATGCAGATTTGTCAACCTATGTTGAATTTTCATGTGTGAAACTATATTAATTATAAATAAGTATAAAAAAATGACTTATCTTATCATGCTTGAGTCAAAAGTGAGTAACATTTGCCACCAATATAGAGCCAGGCCAGCCTGTACACCTGTACGGTGAGTCTGACCAGGCTCTATAATGTTGGTAGCTCAAATTTTGTAATTTGAGGTTGAAATCACTTGAACATTGATTCAATGTTAGAATTTACTTTATTGAAATTACTAGTGTTATTCATTTAGCTCTCCATTTTCTGTTTTCAGAAGGTTTAGCAGTCCATGAGAAGCTAGTGTCTGCTTATCAAAATTCACAGTGGAAGCGAAAGTATGTATATACAGAATTTTTTTTACCTATTCTGCCTTGTTTAATCAATTCCAGTTATTTAGTAAAAAGATGATGCATCAAAAATAACTTTGATAAGATTTTCTAAATATATTTTACCTAGAGGAAATCTTCTGGCAGTGCAATTACACCTTTATGAGATATTAACTATTAATCTGATGTCAAGGTCAAAATACACAATTAAGTAGCCAATAATAAAGGCTTACAGTGGGGGCTAGGGCTTTAAAGCTTCCCTGTGCTTGTGCAGATGTTAATGCACAAGAAAGTGCTTTAGTGCTTTCCTTGCATAAAAATGTATGCTTATTTAATGATTCTGCATTTCATTATTTTATTTTCATTCAAAAAAAAAATTTTGTCATGCTATCCACATACTTTTGGGATGTTATTTTACAGTTATATTCTGATAATGAAACTAGCAGGGCAGTCAGTGCAGGAAGCTATTTTAACATGGGGTGGCGAGTCGCGCATATTTTAAAATGTGCAACGATAGTGCCTGCTCACTTGATTTTATTCTGTAATGCATGTTTTCTTTTCTCTTAATGTACTAGTTTACTTGCATGTGCTGGTTTTGATCAAGAAGACAGCTTCAAGCCAGAGGGCTGAATAGAACAGGCAGACTAATGCTGTGCTTTTTGAAAATTAACATACAATTTAGCCAGTCTTAAGTGCTTAAAAATTTGACAGATTATTTTGTCGAAAAAATAAATGATATATGCACTGCTGAATCTGATCATTTTGTTTGTAAATTTTTTTTGCAGATTGACCAGTGATTTATCACCCATACTGCAGGAGCATCAGTCTAGAAAAAACAGAGATGCTTTAGAAAGACTACCACCAATTCAGTATGCAACAAATGGTCTCACACAGGTATAAGTTTACTACAAGTGATACTGTGACAATGATACTTTGATCATGACCATTTTCCAGTGACTACAACAACAGCAGCCATCTTTGAAGTCACTGAGAGTTGATGATGTCATTTTGCATGTGGCTCATTTACTCACTTATTATGGAAAAATAATGGCATAATGACCTAGATCCTGTCATGATGGCATTGAAATACTCCAGATTTTGTTACTATATATAGTAACATAGGTAGTAATTTTGTTTTAAAGCCTGTCATTAAAAACCACTGTATTTCTGCCCTTAAAGACCAATGATTATGTTGATTAACAATTATAGGGAGACCATCCAACAACAAATTGTTTTAATTGAATAAGTGTAGGTTCAATTAAATGTTAAACAAAATTATAAAATGCAAGCCTCTGACTTTTATGCTATTCTTGTACATGTATAATGCAAGTGACGTCACATCAAAACATATTCATGGCTTTGCCATACCATTTTTACAGAGTCGCAATAGTGGCACGGGTATGTAGTAAATACTTGTAAAGCAACTTACACGTGATCATTTGATATAAAATGCTTTTTTTTAACAATTTATTTAATTATATTATACAAGACCATCTGATATCAAATACATGCTATATGAGGTTGTCTGACAACAAATACATGCTATAACAAAGGATTGCTATATGAGGTTTTCTGACAATAAATACATGCTAAATGAGGTTTTCTGACAATAAATACATGCTAAATGAGGTTGTCTGACAATAAATACATGCTATAGGAGGTTGTCTGACAGCAAATAATGCTATATGAGTTTGTCTGACAACAAATACATGCTATATGAGGTTGTCTGACAACAAATGCATGCTAAATGAGGTTGTCTGACAATAAAAACATGCTATATGAGGTTGTCTGACAACAATATACATGCTATATGAGTTTGTCTGACAACAAATGCATGCTATATGAGGTTGTCTGACAACAAAATACATGCTATATGAGTTTGTCTGACAACAAATGCATGCTATTTGAGGTTGTCTGACAACAAATACATGCTATATGAGGTTGTCTGACAGCAAATAATGCTATATGAGTTTGTCTGACAACAAATACATGCTATATGAGGTTGTCTGACAACAAATGCATGCTAAATGAGGTTGTCTGACAATAAATACATGCTATATGAGGTTGTCTGACAAACAAATACATGCTAAATGAGGTTGTCTGACAACAAATACATGCTATATGAGGTTGTCTGACAACAAATACATGCTATATGAGGTTGTCTGACAACAAATACATGCTATATGAGGTTGTCTGACAACAAATACATGATATAACAAAGGATTGCTATATAAGGTTGTCTGAAAACAAATACATGCTAAATGAGGTGGTCTGACAACAAATACATGCTATATGAGGTTGTCTGACAAAATATACATGCTATATGAGGTTGTCTGACAACAAATGAGCCGTGTCACGACAAAACCAACATAATGGGTTTGCGACCAGCATGGATCCAGACCAGCCTGCGCTTCCGCGCAGTCTGATCAGGATCCATGCTGTTCGTTATCAGTTTCTCTACTTGTTATAGGGTCTGTAAGCGAACAGCATGGATCATGATCAGACTGCACGGATGGGCAGGCTTGTCTGGATCCATGCTGGTCTCAAACCCATTATGTTGGTTTTGTCATGACACGGCTCAAATACATGCTATATGTGGTTGTCTGACAACAAATACATGCTATATGTGGTTGTCTGACTTAAATACATGCTATGTGAAGTTGTCTGACAACAAATACATGCTATGTGAAGTTGTCTGACAACAAATACATGCTATGTGAAGTTGTCTGACAACAAAGGATTCTATGTGAGGTTGTCTGACAACATGATGTTTCTGACAACAAATAATTGCTATGTAAGGTTGTCTGACAACAAATGCTTGTGGTATTTTTCTGTATATAGTGAAATAGTAAATGTTCCAAATGTAGGGAATACAACATCTAGTTAAATTGCTTTAATGGTAGAGTGACTTATGTACTGATATGCAATGTTTATCATAAATTGTAGTTGTAATTTTGTCATGGTTTCAGTTCTTGTACTGCAGTCAAAGAACTTTACGAAACTTGATCAGAAATCCAGCAGTATCAGTATTACAGGTATGTACAAAGTTAAATTATTTAAATGATAAAATTTTAACAAAGAATTTAATAATTTAGAAATTGATACATTTCTAACTTCAAATTTCCAAAAAATTACTTATTTCATAGCTTGTTATACTGTTTGCATTTGGATAGAAATATCTTGTGACAGTGAAAATACCAAATATGATTGACTGTTTATTTGACTTATTTTTAGGTGTTAACTATGGTGATATTTGCTGTGGTAGTTGGCGCCATCTATTGGCAGATTGATGACTCGTGTAAATCTGGACTACAAAACAGGTTTGTGCCTTTGTGCCCTTTTAATATGGTAAGAAGAAAATGAAATTAGTAGTGTTCACTTGGGTAGATGTCTGAAATAGCTTTATTTGTGCATAAAACATATCATACAAATGAAAATAGTTACCATAATTATTTACCTGATGGCAAGAATTTATTCTGTAATCTTAAGGGCTGTACCAAGTGCTTTGTTTTATAAACTAATCATAAAGTTGTACCGAATTTAAATCATTTTGTGCCCCTTTGTGACTGAGGGGTTTCCTTTATAAATTGAGGCATCAGGGTTGCAGTCACGTTTAACCCTGGGTGATCGTAAGAGGCAACTAAATGGTTGCGAATAACTGGATTCTGTGCATCTCTTAGCTCCTGCAGGTGAGGTGGTTTTGACCCCTGGTGTTGCTTTAAGCTTGTTACACCCGAGGTTTGCCAAAATGATCGCCATATTACCTAAACTGTGTTGGTGTACCGTAAAACAAAAAAATAATCTTTTACCAGAGTCTGCAGATTTAAATTAAGGTCTTAAACTACTATTAAAATCTAGATAAGTCCATATAATTTGGACTGTTGGATTAAGACCTAGCAATGCATATTCTATCAAGTCATTTAATGCATGTTTTAATTTACATTTTCAGAACTGGTGCCTTCTTTTTCATCATTATGAACATGGTTTTTGGAAATCTGTCTGCTGTGGAACTTTTCATCAAAAACCGAGCAATCTTTTTGTGAGTAACTATTTCACTATCTCTTTGGTTAATATGTAGAATATTATAAATTTGTCCTTTGATGGCAAAAACACAATGTGTTGGCAATATTTATTTTCTAATTGTTTCAAGTGTCCAGGTTTATTTTTATTCAATAATGAAATTTGCTGCATTTTCATTATTTACCCATTTACTGTAACTGTCCATTTATCTAAGTATGTAGAGCAATTGACTATGAATTAGGCAACCCAGGTACAGTGCAGGTCACTTTTGTTTGAAAGCCTTTCTATATGGTTAGTCACACTGTACCTCTACTTTGCCATGTTCATAGCTTATCAATGCCTTGCGAAGGTGAAGGCAACCATTACTGGTAAACTTCTTGACAGCATGCCCAGGAACATTGCCGCAGCAGAACTGTGCTGTGGTATTTTCAAATTGGCTTGCTGCCATAATCTGGAGGGTAAACTACCAACATTACCACCAATGAGTTTCTGTCACTTAAGCACTCCAACTTTAGTTACTTTACATGAAGTATACAATAGTTATTTTTGTAATCTTTAATAATGTTTTTTGTAAGTTTAGTTTGGTATTTGATGAAACACGATTTATGCAACTATGTCAGTATTCTTGACATTTTACACTTGTCTATAGAAGTGATATTATTCCTATAAAAACCCTTTTTCTGAATTTACTATATATAAAAATTTTGATTAGCTCATTGAAAATGTTTCTTACTTGTAGGCATGAAAATGTGAGTGGATTTTACCGGATTTCCGCGTATTTTTTATCTACCGTGTTGTGTGATGTCATACCAATGAGATTTCTACCAACTCTTGCCTTCTCAGCTGTTGTCTACTATATGTTAGGTTGGTACTTGATAGTTTAAAGGCCCATTAAGCCTGAGAAATGCTTTTATTTGTATTTATTTCTCTTGGTGTGTTATCCGCGCAGTCTGATCAGGATGCATGCTGTTCGCTATCAGTTTATTTACTTGTTATAGGGTCTGTAAGCAAACAGCATGGATCCTGATCAGACTGTGCGGCTCATTTTATGTTCAATGCTGGTTGTTTCAGGTGATAAACATCAAACATGCTTCTAAACCATTACTTAAACATTATAAAACATATTTATTTCTTACTTTTAAAATAAAAATAAGAGAAAAAATATGTTTGTTTCTGAGGCTTGATGAACTTTTCAAGCTGTATAATGTTGTTAAGGAGACCAATTTACATAAATAATTGTCAGGACAGTGGACAGCGGGATTGAGCTTGACTGGTTTCACTTTCATGTTTCCTCACCAATACTGAAAAAACTTTGCCTGAAATACCTCAATGGTCCCTTTAACATGCAAGTTACACAGAGCCTTAGTTTTTTAATCTCACCTGAAAGACTTTTCGGTAATATTGTTTAGTGAGGTCAACTGATTGATTTGTAGCCAAAATGTTGACCACAATACTATTGATTCATTCAATGACATAAAGCTTAACTAATAACTTAAACCTCTATACTATAAAAATAGTTTTTGCCAATATTTTCAGGTTTCCTGACTGCTTTTGACAAGTTTCTGGTGTTTTTCCTTGGCTTGTTCCTAGTGTCCTTGGCAGCTTCAGCCGTATCGTTCTGTATCAGCGCATGTGTTAAAATATTTGCTGTTGCCAACCTCCTCATTGCCATGTGTTATGTTGTCATGATGGTAAGTCATGTTGAATTTATTACCTAATTTTTAGCTCACCTGACCACGAAGTGGTCAAGGTGAGGTATTTGTGGTCAAGGTGAGGTATAGTGATGGGGCTATGTCCGTCGTCGTTTGTCATCAACAATTGGGTTGTTAACAGTCTAGCAGTCACAGTTATGATTGGATCATCATTCATTGAGATTGGATCATCATCAAACTTTATCAGAATGTTTGTCTCAAAGTATAAGATAACAAGAGGCCATGATGGCCCTGGATCACTCCCCTGACCGATCAACCGCATCCAAGCAATGTCTTAGACAAGCATCCTGGCCAAGTTTGATGGCAATTGAGTAAAAATTTGACCTCTAGTGTGTTAAAAAGGTTTTTCAATATTTGGGCAATGTGACCTAATTTTTGACCAGAGACAACCAATATTCAAACTTGACCTAGAAATCATCAAAACTTATACTTTGGCTGAAACAGAAAGTGTTCAGCTTTTACCACCAGTACAGAGGAAGGCCAGCCTGTGGGTAATACAGTCTGACCAGGCTTTTTACTGTCGGCCAATTATCATCTTGATATACCCTAAGTTTGATAATGGACTGATTTAAAAGTAGAAGCTGGACAAGTCTATTTAGAAAATTTAGCTGGTTCAGGGTTAATTAGATTTAAACAGAGCTCTGTTTGATTGGCTAAATTATACATTTATGACCTTTTTCATCTTTTGGTATGGAAAAAAATGCTTTTCTGTGCCAATTTTGTGACAAAGTGACATGGTGAGCTTTTGTGGGCGTCTGTACATCTGCCCGTAAACTTTTACTTTAAATGACATCTCCTCATAAACTGTGCGCCAAATTCATCCAATCTTCACAGGAATGTTACTTTGGTGGTCAACTTTAAAAATATTGTTCAAAGAATTTAATTCCATGCAGAACTCTGGTTTACAAAGTCTTCTTTTAAAAAACCAAAAGAACTCAAGCTTAGATATTTTGCATGAAACATCATCTAGTCAGTGTCTACCAAGTTTGTTAAAATAAAATCCCTGGCTTCAAAACTGGCCACGCCCAGGGGGGTCATTGATTTTCCTTATATGTATAAAGTAAAAACTTGAAAAAAATCTTCTTTTAAAAAATCAAAAGAACAAGAGCTTAGATATTTGGCATAAATCATCCTGTAGTCAGTGTCTACCAAATTTGTTCAAATAAAATCCCTGGGGTCAAAACTGGCCCCACTTAAGGGGATCATTGATATTCCTTATATGTATATAGTAAAAACTTTATAAAATCTTCTTTTAAAAAACCAAAAGAGCAAGAGCTTAGATATTTGGAATGAGACATTGTCTAGTCAGTGTCTATCAAGTTTGTTCAAATAAAATCCCTGGGGTCAAAAATGGCCCCGTCTGGTGGTGGGGGAAGGTCACATATATTCTTTATATGTATATAGTAAAAACTTTAAAAATCTTTTTTTAAAAATCCCAAAGAACTAGAGTTAAGATATTAAGCATGAAACATGTTCTCATGAAACATGTTCCTGGGGTCAAAATTGGCCCGCCCAGTGGGGTCATTGATTTTTCTTATATGTGTATATAACTTTAATATATACATGTATATATAATTTCTTCTTGTGAGTGTCTACCAAGTTTGATCAAATAAAAGCCCTGGGGTCAAAATTGGCCCCGCCCGGGAGTGGGGTTCATTGTTTTTCCCAGTATGTATATAGTAAAACCTTAAAAAATCTTCTAATGGATGTCTACCAAGTTTTGTGAAAAGCCGTTGAGATACTGGCCCCGCCCTGGGGGCCTATATACAGGTGAGCGATTTCAGGGCCATCATGTTTTAAAGATTACAGTGTATATGTCTAATGACAGTAATGGTCTTCCATAGATCCAACTAATCTTTAAGAAGTTTGTGATTACTTGTTGAAAAACTAGTTATTGTTATTTGTAGGTACAGAAAAATAAGTACAGAAAATAGAAAGCATTGTTTAGGCTACGGCTATCTGCTAAAAGAACAATCTAAATACTGATAGTCTTATTTCAATGATCTGCATTTGTTGAAAGATATCTATAATTACCTCATTGGAGTCAGATAGTATATCATCATAATATAGTCAGGGTATTTAATATTTTCCTTTCTTTCTTCAGGTATTCAGTGGGTTACTTGTGAACCTTGACTCAATTCCTGATTTCCTTGAATGGCTCAAGTACTTCAGTATCTTTAGATACAGCTTAACTGTAAGTAGTTAAATGGTGATTTTGGCTTTTTTTCAGTAGAAAATATGTGTGTATATTAAACCTTCCTTAATGTCTTAGAACATTTTAAGTTCATAACAGAAAGATACAAATACATCAGAAACGATCCCCCTGTGGCCAGGATTCGAACTAGTGACCCGCATACAAGCAAAGTAACAATGCTCTAGGTAACTGAGCCAAAGAATAAATTCCCCGACGTAAATGTCAGAAGGCTTTAATAATAGATACACTTTCTTCTTGGATAAATCTACAGTATGTATATAACTGGGAGAAGTGGTATATTGATAAAGGTGTTTACCTCTGGAACAAGGCATCACGGGTTAGAGCCCTATTGTGGAAGTGGACTTGAGCAAATAAGCTGCAAGCTTTCTTGTGAACTGACTCAATATTCTTATGTACCACATGTATATATATAGCTATCTAGGAGGATTAACAGTTTGAAACAAATATTTCATGTACAATAATTGCTTTATCTCTTTTTAGGCATTGAGTATAAATGAACTGAAAGATATGACATTTGTTAATTCAACTGCCACTGAGAACTGGTAAGATTTATTTATATTTACCTCCACTATACAAAGAATAGGAGAGCTATTGTACTCATCCCAGCATTAGTGTTGCCATCCCACTATGGTTAGGTTTTTGGAAGTTGCCTTACTTCAAAACTACTGGCTGAATTGGTTGAAACTTCACACACTTGTTTTCTGCGATTATCTTACATGCTGGGCACAGATTCCATAACTCTTAGTTACCTTTTCACCGAGTTATGCCTATTTTCTTACTGTCAAGCACTGAGAATAGTCCAGCATGCTGTGTTACGGACTGCTCTTGTCTTGTTAATTATTTCTATATTTTTTAATTCATACATTAAATTCACTTAAGAAAACAAATAAGATTTAGGTTTTAAACTTTCATACTGGAAAGTACTTCTTTTGACTGCCAAAATATATTTTCTCTAGTTATTCATTAGAGGCTAGATTAGAAATAGAATTATTTTTGTGACTACAGTCTAACTTATCACCAAGACCACCTCTGTATTCAGGTCTTCACCGACTTGTACTGTATGAAAACCTGTCATTGAGGGACATCATTTATTTTCTCATGCCATCAATCGTTGCTTAAAAACTACTGATTTTGTGAGTTCTCATATTCTCTTTACTTGAAAAGCCACATTTTCTTTCCTGTAGAGTTTGGTTTAAATTATTCGTGATTATTTACCTTGATATTTATCTATATTTTAGCATTACAGGAAATGAATATTTGGATGCTCAGGGAATCAAGTATGAGACAGACTGGGACCTATGGGTCAACTATATGGCTCTGGGTGTGATGTCTGTCGGGTTCCTGGTTCTAGCTTACATCAGACTTCTCTTCATGAATAAGCTGAGATAAATAAATGGGTCGAGTACCGGAGAAAGAAAGATGCAGTATTGAACTGTAAAAGAACTAGAACTGTTTCTAATTGTTGTTGTTTAGTCACGCTTTTTGTGACATAGCTATGTGGTAGAAACTAGAGGTCTACATTCAAGGTTTGTTATCTTCAGATATAATGTCAATCAGGGAGAAATAGATTATTTTTTAAAATGCTCTTATAAGATGGTTGGTGGTTAATGCCTTTTGGACCCAGTCACTCTGTGTCAACTTTAATTAATTCCAAAAACATGGTAAGCTTTTCCATAACTTGCAAATTTATGTGATTGAAACTATGTTTTTTCAAGGTCAAAGGTCAAGGTCTCTGTAGCCATGGTCACTAAAAGTTAGTCAAACTAATAACAAAAGAAAACATTGGCTTATAACTACATATATATACTACATTACATTATCATAATTTACATTTTTTAGTAAATATGGATAAGGTAGTATGTAATGTATACATTGATAATAAAAGAAGTAGGGACACAAATATAACATAAACATATTTATAGTTTATAATTTTATTGAAAATCAACATATCAATAAGTTATGCAATTGTGTAATTATCTTCTGGCCCCGTGTTCACTAAGAAAAGATCAGGATCAGGATCAAGTGATCCTGATTTTATTTTCATTGTTTAATGTTACTAAAATTATTTGTGTTTTGCCAGAATTAAATGGCAAATATTCAAAATGTAAAAATATGCTGATTTGCAAAGAAAACAAACTTTTTTGTGATAAAATCAACAAATAATAAAACAAATACAAAAATATTTGGATCAAAATAAGGATCAATTTTAGGATCAGGATCAATATTTGGATCAACTGTAAAATGCCCATATCTTGCAAAATTAACAATTAATTTATTCTAAAATTTCATATACATGCTATTTCAAGTCCAGTTTTATCAAATTAATATTAGATATTTAATCTATGAGGATAAACAATGAAGAATATTAGGGTTTTTAAATTTGATCCTGATCTTGATCCTGATCCTTAAATCTTTGTGAACACCGGGCCTGCTGTTTAACCATTTCTTTCAAATCAATGTTGATTTATTTCACTTGTGAAACTTTTACTTATATACACATGTAAAGAAATCCACCTGTTTGTTACAGGACATATATACCTCAAATTCAAAAACGCATGTCACATGATATGCTTTTTTGTTCATTTTGTATTGTTGTTCAAATGTTTTTATAGTATATGATAGGTGGTGATATATTGTTGTATCTCACTGGTATGTATACACCAAATATAAATTTTGCCAGTCTTTATTACTTACAATTTTTACTTAACATTTTAAACTACAAATTTTTACTTTTATTTTGTCATATTTTTGTTTGTTCATTTCATTGTATGTTTATTTTATAGAATCACAAAATTTGTATAGAATTAGGGTGACATTTGACGTATGTACACAACTGTTCAATTTTATATATAGATTTATTATGTTTATGCATATGCTAGATTTGTGTATAGCAAGACACATAGGATCTTGCATGTCAGGAGTTGGATTTCTGTAAAAAAAAGAGTAAACTACATATCTGAAAGCATGTTATGTAAGTCTGTATGAAATCATTACAAATGATAACAAATATAAATGATAATGAAAGTGAATGATAATGTAAATGATAACTAATGTAAATAACAAATATTAATGATTAACTTTCGTTAATGATAACGAAAATGAATGATAATAAATGTAAATGATAACAAATATAAATGATAATAAATGTGAATGATAATAGATGTAAATGATAACAAGTTTTAAAGATTTTTTTAGACACAGTAGCGCCTTGAAATCTAGGAAATACATAAATACATAAAAAATAATGTCTATATCTTTGTGTGAGGTGCTTTCTTTTTAGAATATTTCATCCATTGAATCTTCATGGGATCAATAGCATGCTTTGTATGAGACACTTGTAAAAATAAAGATATACATAAAGTAACATTGAAAAAGAAGCGGGTTTATGCTGTGAGATAATTTGTTATCTGTATATTAATAAGTATATAATTATACAGTATGCCAGTATCCTTTTTTAAAGCTTAGTTAAATAAAATGTTTGACTTGCATGTATTTAGGTGTCATGAAATATATTCAAAATATGCCCCCGAATATTGCCTGTTAATTAAGAAAGCATTTAAGTAAGAAACTATTTATAGATATTTTATGAGATTATACATGTAGCTGTCTAATAAAAAGGCATACGACTGCCAGCATGACAATACAACTTAAATAGTATGTCAGAAGACTTAACGTTGCCATTTAAAAATACCCTTGAGATGTTGAAGATAGATATCAGTAGAAAAAGATAAGTTGTTTTGACATATATCTTTTTATTATTTCAAGTGGTAGAAAATTAAATGTCCATAAAAAGTAAAAGTGTGCGGATGCACAGACTGGTCTGGATCCATGCTGGTCGCAAACCCGCTAAGTTGGTTTTGTCGTCACGCGGCTCATATAGTATATATTTAAATATTTACCCTAGATGATATGATTTTCAAGATATTCATATGAGAGGAGGGGGGGGGGAAACATGATGTTGTGAAGTGAAATTTGAAGTATTTTGAATTTGCCACCAAAATCATTGTTCAATATATGTGTATGAAAAATTAGCATGCCGCAGCCAGGACTCCAACCATGGGTCTTTGGATTGCTGGTCGAGTATGCTTACAACTACACCACAGCAGCCATTCCATTTTCTTTGTGCCAATTTTTTTACTGATTTTTCTATGTATAATTTCCTGCTCATGACTTTCTTTCTTTCATATATATATATATATATACTTTTAATGCTCAAATGTAATTGTATTTTGTTTTATTTTACTTAAAAAGTCCCATTTGTTCTCTGGTTTTTATTTAATAGTTGTTTTTCACAATATATTTAACATTTCGTAAATATAGAATATATTTTTTCACAGAAATTTACTTTTGAAATCCAAATTTTAGTATGTTTTTATTTTACATATTGTTTATGTGGAATGCATTATATATTAATACTAATAGCCATTATATTCATATTACATGTTCTAAATTTCTTTATCCTACAACAGCACTTACTGTATATCCTTATGAAAAGTATGTTTCCATAGGAACATCAAAAAGTACAAAAAATATTCAGTGTATTCAGTGATCCGACAGGAATGTTAAATTATTTCATAACATTATATATCCTGTATATATATCTTTTTGTAAAGACAATCATTATTTTGTTATCAGCTAGATATTCTTGTTGCTCAGATACTAAAATGATAATCATTTGGGCTGATTTCTAATTTTTATTTATCCATGACTTTTTTTATCCAGACAATCGTCTGTTTCAGGTATTTTGATCATTTTAAGGCAAACTTTAGATTACTTTGAATTTAAATATGTATACTACATGTACTAGAATAATTTTATTTACTATTTTGCTCTATGTTGCCGTGCCACCACTTTCCAAATATTTAGACAATTCATAATAATAATGATATTTAATATTCACAACAGAAAATTATATTTTTGTTATATAATGTTTTATTTTGTATTCATACAATAAAGATGCTGAAAATAAACATGTTGTTCTTATGATTTGTTATCACTGACTTTTAACAAAACCATTGCTGCCCATCCTATTCACTTATGAAAAGTTCATCAACTTCGCATAGAAGCTTGTTAATTTATTGTCGGGACCTCTTTCCATCAACTGATGTTTAATTTAAAATGGTAACAAATTGAATATATATTCTCTATAATTATGTTCTAATAGCATCAAGCTACTTTTAATTAAGACATTCTTTTCCTTTCCAAACAGTAAAACAAAGAGCAACAACAATGTTAAAACAATATAAAGTTCTGACAAAGAAAAGCCATTAACAAATTATAAAAACATATATGAATTGTATATGTAATAAAAACAATGAAATGTTATGTACAGAAACAAGCTACTTTTGTTGAAGACCATGATAAGAGTTAAGGAGCTAAGCTGTAAAAGGGATGTTTTATAGAGAACATCCAGCTTAAATGTTCCTGTCAAGTTATTCTTTGGCACAGATACTTGTTTACGAGATTTTTTCTCGTTTCCTTCATCTCGTTCAGCAGACTAACAATTTATGTTTAGCATTGTACCATCATTATCCATAGAAGGCTCTGCTCATTCCTGGAAAATCTAAACAATTTGACAAAACATTGATACTATTGATGACCAACACAATTGCTGAACACAATATCGAACCTGAGCATATTGTCACCTAAGTGCAATAACAGACTAACTCCTACTGCATTCCAATAGGAGTAAACCGGCTACTGCACTAAGGTGACAATATTATACTTAGATGAGCTAAAAGTTTATTGATCTTCATCACTGACTGGTTCCTTCTTAATTTTCTTTGGCTTACAGTATCTGAGCTGTGATCTGCCATATGGACAGATGTCTTTGTTTAGGCATTCAGAACACTTGGGGTTGACAGGTAGGCAAGTCTGCTGACCAAATCCAACCAATAGATGATTAATATCTGTCCAATATTCCCTGTAGTTAGAAAAAAAATTGTAAAGTTCAAATCATTTGCCTGCTATATTTGTAAAATGGATTTGCCCAGTTTTGACATTAAACAATTTAATTTGAATTCCCACTAAGTTACATAACCACTATTCCTTCGCAAGTTAAACATAGTTTTACAAAAAATGTCACTGTGACCTTGTCCTTTGACCTAATGACCTGAAAATCAAAAGGGGTCACCTACAAGTCATGAAAAATGCTGCTACCAAGTTTAACAAACTTTGGCCTTTTCCTTCTAAAGTAATTGATAGACACAGTGTCATTGAAACCTTGACCTTTGACCTAATGACCTCAAAATTAATAGAGGGGTCATCCTTCTTGCCATGGATAATATCACTTCTAAGTTACATAACAATTTATTTTTCCTCACCTGGGTAACCAGTCTTCTAGAGCTTTTCTTGTATCCTCTGGCAGTTTTGTTGTTTTCTTCACCCAACCAAGACGGTTTGAGATTCTATGTACATGTGTATCAACTCCTATACCTGCATGTATATCAAATATAAGGCAAAACAAGAAAAGTTACCAATCACAAATTTTGGAATTTGCATGTATAATCTGGTCAGATATCCCAATTTGTGTAAAATACTTTACAAGAACTTGCCATTAATATCTTCATCTAAGTTTATATACTGAGCTTGTAGACATATTTATTGTGAATCAAAATACAAAAAATGCTGAAGAGTATTCTGTATATGGAGGCATTGGTCAAATAAAAAGAATAGCTGTTTTATACACACAAGTCCTTTTTAACAATGTTTTGTCCTTATTCTATTAATAGGTAACATGTTAAAGTGTCTTATACTGTCTTCAAAAATAAAAATATCCACCTTCAATTTGATTCCAAGCACATTTCATGACCAAATAAGCCATCTTGGGACCTACTCCAGGAAGTTTACAGAGATCTTGTACAGTAGAAGGAATATCACCTTTATATTGTGTTCTAAGTATATCACTGGTTTTCTTGATGTATTCCACTTTTCTCTAAAAAATAGATAATTTCACAAAAATATCTCATCATCATCAAAAACTGAAACAATCTTGTACTATCTTTTAGGTATTAAATACTTGTATATATAACCTCTTGTATTATAATTTGAATGCATTCTAAAGAATATATCATAATGAGTTGCAGTTTTCCTGTTCTTTTGGGTATAATACCACAAAGACATTTTACATGCCATTTTAAAGTTTTAACTGACAAATGAAATGATGACTCCAGATAATTATCCTTCTATAACTTGAGTAGTGTCTGTGAAGAACAATCAAGCTTTAATACACTATACAGCTTCAAGACACCAAATTTATAAACTCAGGTGACAGAAATATCTACAGAGAATATAAAACATCTGAAAGTTTGGTAACTCATCTGTTATTACCTTCCAAAATCCAACAGGGTAGATAAGCTCTCCTAATATTTTATCTGATGTAGAGAGAATATTGTCAATGGTACAACCATGTGCTCTTAATTTACTCATTGCTGCTGATGTGATCTGGTCCTTAGTTTGACTTGACAACATCAAAGAAAGTAATACTTGATATCTGTACACCTGAAATAAATTGTAAAATGTACTCAATGTTTGCGACAAATAAAAAGAAATGCATGCAAATGTACCTCTAAAATGATTATATGCTGCATATTTTAAATTAGTTTGCTTTCATTGTATGTTCTAATCAGTCATAGTCTTAATTTATTTTCAATAAATTCCATCACTAAATATCTTTCTACACCTAATGATTGGTGGGTTTAAACCCTCTTATGTAATTGGTCCTATAAACAACAAGAGGGCCATGATGGCCCTAAAGTCGCTCACCTGTATATAGGCCCCTGGAGCAGGCCCAGTTTAAACCCCAGGGCTTTTATTTGAACAAACTTGGTAGACACCCATTAGAAGATGTTTCATGCTAAACATCTAAGGTCTAGCTTGTTGGGTTTTTTAAAAGAAGTTTTTTTCAAGTTTTTTTCTTTACACATATTAAGTTAAAAACAATGACTCACCTGGGGCAGGGCCAGTTTTGACCCCAGGGCTTTTATTTGAACAATCTTTGTAGACACTTACTAGACAATGTTTCATGCTTAATATCTGAACTCTAGCTATTCAGGTTTTTTCAAAGAAGATTTTTAAGTTTTTGCTATACACATATAAGGAAAATCAATGTCCCCTGGGACGGGGCCAATTTTGACCCCAGGGCTTTTATTTGAACAAACTTTGCACGGAAGTGTCACGTTGAAGGTTCCATGATAACCGCCATATGAACTCATCTGCGGATGTTTCTAAATTCAAAATTTTACCATGTTTAAATGTTGAATTCTGCTTAAGCCGGTGCTAGGGGGCGTGGACGGTAGTTAACACTTTACAGTACCGTCCATGAACAGGCTCAATCAAACCGAGCCTGCAACATTTTCAATTATGTTGTGTTGGACTTTCTTTAGGGATTCTTATTTTGTCTATTTTGTAGACACTCACTAGAAGATGCTTCGTGCTTAATATCTAAACTCTAGCTATTTGAGTTTTTTTCAAAGAAAATTTTGTAAGTTATTGTCATACACATATAAGGAAAATTAATGACCCCCGGGGCGGGGCCAATTTTGACCCCAGGGCTTTTATTTGAACAAATTGGTAGAACTCACTAGAAGATGTTTCATGCTTAGTATCTAAACTCTAGCTATTTGTTTTTTTTTTCAAAAAAGATCTTTTAAGTTTTTGTTATAAAGATAAACATATAAGGAAAATGAATGACCCCCAGGGCAGGGCCAATTTTGACCCCAGGGCTCTTATTTGAACAACTTGGTAGACATCCATTAGAACATGTTTCATGCTAAATATCTTAACTTTGGCTTTTTGCATTCTTTAAAAGAAATTTTTTTAAGTTTTTACTATAATTATGCATATAGGGGAAATCAATGACCCCTTAGCTGGAGCGGGGCCAATTTTGACCCCAGGGCTTTTATTTGAACAAACTTTGTAGACACCCATTAGAACATGTTGCATGCTAAATATCTTAGCTCTAGCTCTTTGGGTTCTTTAAAAGAAGATTTTTTAAGTTTTTACTGTATGCATATAGGGAAAATCAATGACCCCCTGGGGTGGGGCGAATTTTGACCCCAGGGCTTTTATTTGAACAAACTTGGTAGACACTCACTAGAAGATGTTTCATGCCAAATATCTAAGCTCTAGCTCTTTGAGTTTTTTAGAAGAAGATATTTAAAGTTTTTTCTTTTGGTTGCCATGGCAACCAGAGTTCTGCATGGAATTGAATTCTTTGAACAACTTTGTTAAGGCTTCACACAAGGAACATCCCTGTGAAGTTTCATTATGATCTGCCTTATGGTTTCAGAGGAGATGTTGTTTTAAAAGTGTGAACGGGCAACACACGACGGACGAAAAGTGATCCTAATAGCTCACCCTGAGGATATGCTCAGGTGCGCTAAAAATGCCATTTTATAGGGGCACACAGTTTTTCATTCAGTGACATCATTATTAAGTTAAGTAATACGGGGAAGTCAAAAACCGGGCCCGCGAAGCGGGTCCGGGCTTTGGCTTGCCCGGCTATAGACTACACGTGTATATTTAAAAGAAAATCAAATAAAAAACAATTAAAAAATATACATGTATAGAATTCTATACCTATCAATGAAATTTTCAGTGTCAGTTCTAGTCGAGCGCCGCCATTTACAATGTAACTCAATGATAATAGGCGGGGTATTCCCATAACGGAACAAATCTCAACTTTTCGGATAAATGATAATCGTCGAGTGTTCCGAGTGAAAACGGAAGCGGTGCATGTAATACCGAATGACACCTTTAAAACGGAAAGAATGAAAGGAATTTTTAACGACTTCCCCGTTCATAGGCTTTGCCTAATTTCATATTAGTCTGTCATTAACATTTAATGCATCAAATACCATAAGATTTTCAGGGCATTTAAGCATAGTAAAAGTTATCATACAGACATAAGGTAAACCTAATTAAAATGAAAATAAACTATTTACAAAGCAAATTCCTAACATTTTTGACATTGTAAGTGTATAACACATTTTGAACATATCTCATGAAAATTTGAACCTCTGGTTTTGCATTTTCATCACTTATAACATCGCAACCCATGGTATCAACCGGTGCATCCCAAGCTTTTCTTATTTCATAAATATTATCAAGCTGCTGTTTCCACAAAGGTGGTTGCCAAACATTTCCCTGAACCGCTTCCTCTGTAATTTGATTCACTCCAGGTTCAAACTTCACCTCAGTCTTTAATTCAGTCTTGATGTTAATGGTGTTTGAAGCATTATCATTGACACTTTCACCATTTTCAATTTTTATTTCAGTGTGTTCGCGTTTTCTCCTTAACTTGCCACTTAATGATTGTGCATGCTGTGAAGTTGACCTGGCAATCCTGGTATCAATGCCAGTATTTTGAGTGACTGCATCCTTCGACCGATTTGTCACACATGAAGACCTAGTTAATCTATGTGTTGGAAAATATTTTGACTCGCTCATCGTAAAGGATCGCACGATTCTTACGCCAATTGCTGCAAAAGTTAGAAAATATTTTCTGCTTCCAAAACTTTGTAACATTCCACCATGCTGGATTTCCCGTAAGGTCGCATTTGATTGGTCGATGGTAAATGTCAATAATGTCGTTTATGCATTCACAAAATTGAAATCACAAATACTTTAAAGTATTGAAAATATTGACTACAAAAATAAAGCAGTATTCATATTTCTGATAGCTTTGAATTTACAGATACTTGATAGATACTTGATATTAGATTGAAATTGGATTTTTTCAGACATTTAATGTTTTAAGCGGCTACACGGTCAAGGACGTATGAAACCAAAACAAATAGGGCAGTAGAATTTAATTAGAAATATGTCGATTGCAGAGCAACAAAGATGTCCCATGGTTGTTGTTTCAGGGAATTCTCACCCGGAGCTCGCACAAATTGTTGCAGAGTAAGGAATATGTTGCGTATAATAGGATATTTTAAACTGCTACCCTAACATCAAGGCAATGTGTTTATAATTATCTCCCTTGGCTTTGCATTTAATTTTGCACATGGCCAGGTTTCAAAACTGATAAAAGCTGCTTGACTATGGAATGCCGGTAGGGACATGCCAATTTGCTTATTTGCCAATTGCTGATTTGCTAATTGCCGATTTGCTTATTTGCCAATGGCTGATAGGCTTAACAACAAATTTGCTTATTTGCCAATTGCTGAATTGCTAATTTGCTTATTTGTTAACCGCTGGTTTACGTATTTGCTTATTTGCCTATTGCTAATTTGCTTTTTTGCAATAGAAAATGTTTACACTGTGCCGGAAGCATAAATAAAATCTGACTACATACAATCAGTTGAGTCAGATCTGTTAACTTTTACCAACAGTATTCTTGTACATTCAGTGTTTTTCCAAGAATACTGTTGGTCAATAAAATTTTGGTTGCAGTGATGCCTACGCAGATATATGTCTACAACTGATGGCTAACATGTACTTGAGAACACAGACGCTTGGGGTCAGATCCCGTACCCATAACGTGATACGTGCCCCTTTAAACACTCTGTTTAAAATATTTTAATATTTAAACACGAACTGGACATCGTTAAAACTGGTTTTCAAGCAATTTTTACATATACCGGTATGAAAAAATACCATATACCACCAAGTCTCAATAAAGTACTTAATGGTTTTATCGTTGTAACAAATGTCCAATTCGTATTTAAATAAATATTAAAATAGTTTTTATACAGTGTTTACAGACGCATATACGTTAGGGGCAGGATCTGACCCGCCAGCATCTATGCTTGAGAATGACTTATAATGTGTTGCAGCTATAGATCTGTTTGTGTGCAGCTTAAGGCATAATAAACACTTCATCGGTCATATATAAGTTAAAATTATTGGGTAAAGATTGAAAATAAAAGAACTTGAAAACAAAACTATTTCTTATTTTATGGCATATAAAATGTCGTTATTCTCAGCAGATTTGTCACAGAGGGCCTCATTTTAGTGGTACGAACACATAGTATCAAAAAAGATACATTTGGTGCATGCTTAACACGGGTGTTTGTCTTTGCACTTAAGCAATAGGCTTCGTTTTTAGCTCTGTAAGATTTTGAGATCACTTATGTCATTGTGTGCATCAACATTTTGCTTTGGTTTAATGATTTTGAAATTTGGTCATGTTCCATTTCTTCATGTTGTACATTTTACATGCTATCAGGTGACCATGACCATAATCATGACCTAGGGAATAATGGACACAACCTCTTTGAATATTGTGTATGCATGCTGCCTATTTAATGCTTATGTGAAGTTACAGTAAGATATAAGCAATAGTAACAGAGATATGACAGAAAAACAAAGGCTTCTCAGTACAATACATTGGTGACCTTGGCATTAAGTATATAACGGGCACAGCTTCTTCATGTACTTTGTATGCATGCTTGTAACGCAAAGTTTATGCAAAATTGCAGTAAGATGCATGAATCAGCAAAAGTAACAGAGATATACGAAGAAAACCAATGCATTGGTGGGTAGAATAGCATCCCTATTCTCTGAAATGTGGAGCTAAAAGTGAAACTCAAGATAATTAAAAAACAACTACTTTCTGAAACTGAATTTATTGTTTTCGAAATTGATTAAAATGTATCCATCTGTCTTTCTACCTCTATTCTAGGTAATGATGGATTGATCATAATTGTCACAAGTTATAATTAACAAAACCTTATAAACATAATAACATGATATAGGTTCATGAGCTTGAAATAAAGTCTACAAAGACTTGTTATTTTATATCAAACAAGAACTACGTGAGTCGGACGTGTCGCCTGACAATAGCATAAAAATTTATGTATATAAGCAAATAAGCAATTAGCAAATAAGCAAATTGGCAAATCAGCAAATTGGCAAATCAGCAATTAGCAAATAAGCAATTAAGTAGTTGGCAAATAAGCAAAGTGGCATGTCCCTACCGGCATTCCATAGCTTGACAGTTGTAGCAAAATTTTTTACAAAGTAATGATGCACGTTATGATTACGTTAAAAAATGTTTGAAATGAAAGCATCCCCTTTACATCTAAATCACACAGAGCCACAGACATAAAATCAAAATTCATGGTATTATTAGTCAATCCCAGCAATTATAATTGTATACCAATAAATAGTATATACCAATGAAAACCCAATTTATGCTGTTTGCTGGTAAAAATCTGCACACATACACTCTAAATCACCTTTTATACCCTCTAAATCGCCTTTTATATATATAATCCTTTTTGCCTTTGGTGCACTACAATATTTTAGGAAGTTTTGGAACAGTAAATAAAGTAAAATCACTATTTTCTTAGCTTGCCTAAGCATGTCGTGCTCATATGAGCTAAGAGATGAGCTTTTGTTTGGCAGTGTGTCCATTATTCGTCATTGTCCACAATTTCTTTAGTTTATAACTTTATAAAGAATTTATTTTAGTTTGTTTGTGTAGGAAGCTTAAAATACTAAAGTAATGGCTTGCAGAAACAATCTGGAATCCATTCCTGGAGCTATCCAGTACTGAGCAAGTGTAAGATTTCTTGCTGAAGGAAACAAGGGTTCTTCCCTGATAGAGTTTGAACCCACATGGCAAGAGACCTGACTGGAATATAGATTATGTTTATTATTCAAATTTTTTTAGATTATGATCTAAACAATAAGAAAGCTTTGGGTGCTGCTGTTTACAGTGTCACTATAATTTAAATAAATATGTCACCTACCATGACATTGCCTCCATCTATTTATGTGTATGTTTCAGGAAGCTGTCAACACATCTATGTGACTGTCGCTGTTACCATAAGGCAAACAGAGGTAGGACTGACTGGTCATTTCTGTTACTTACTTGCTCCTTTATTTTGTCCTCCTTTACTCACTGCTGTTGAAAAATATTCAGAGCTAAAGAAGGATTATTCTATGCTCAGTATGCTTAGTGGTTTAGGTCGCCAACTTCAAATCACTTATCTATCATCGCTGTATAGGTTTCGATCCAGTCAGGGACTTTGGATTATATGATGTGTTGTCTTTGTTTAGGACACATACATTCTTCTTATGGAGACCATATGCCACTTGTCCTGACAGAAGAGTCTGTATAACCACTGTATAATGCTATGTATGAATTTATTTATTTTCAAATTCTTAATTAATTACCATTTCATATTAGATGATGGAATTTTGCTTAAGCCATTGCTAGGGGTAGTGGACAAAATATGTTCTATCAAGTTAAGAACATTTTTAATTTTCCAGTCTTTGACATTAGTTTGCTTTCCACATTAGCTTTCTACTTTGATATAATGCATGATTTTTAATTTCAGTTACATGTACATTGTATCTGATTTCAGCTTGACTATTTCAAGAATATGGAGAACTATTCAAGTCTTGTACATACTGAGGCGTCTATCATTGAAAATGTCACACTTTGGTTAAGTTTTTGCATGCAAGTTGGTGTCTTGGAATGGGTTGAAGCTAAACACACATATTTTAGAGCGTAAATTAATAGGAGGTCACTTTCCAAGACCCATAATTCTTCATGGATTTTGACCAAATTATGACCCTTTCTGAATTTAGAAAATTCAACATTATCCAGGCTCTTGTCAAGCACTAAGAATAGTACAGCACACAGTCCTACCTACAGCTCTTGTTATTTCTTTAATTTTTCTCTCTGTGCATGAAAATGTATGTTTTACAATTATTTAACAGAAACGGTTGTCGAAATAAAGGAGTCAATCAGAGGAAAGGATGTTTACATTATACAAACTGGAACTAAGTAAGTAAAATATCAAAATATTCTTTAAGCACAGAATGATGCCACTATTTTTTACCACAGGAAATCATGTAAATCATGTACATACATGTATTTTTGATTTCTTGATAATTAAGAAAAGTAACTAATAAGCTTTCAAGAAAAGTCACAAGAATATGACCTAATGATGACTGTCAGTTCCTAAAGGTTAGCATTTTTAAGAAGCTGATTAAATCAGATTTGAGACTGGCTCTTGAGTTGAATTAATTTGCAGCATTTTTAAATTTATATAAGAAAGAAAGGCATTCAGATTTTACATGGACAGGTCCTCAAACATGTTGAGAAATCCGTTGAATCTCATGCTCAATCTACCAAGTCTAGACTAAGTATTTGTACTGTACAGAAAGTAATGTGAGTGGTCAACATTTGTATTGTACAGAATATTACATGTACATCGGTGCAACGCTATTACCAATGTACTCTCATTATTTTGTCATGTGTGGTCATGCATATGTTGAAGTTAAAAATCTTTGACCTCAATTAATAAAAAATGTAATGATTAGTTGAATTTGTACTGTTTTACACAGAATATTGATTATTAAATTCATCAATGAAATTCAATACAGACATATAGGAAAAGTTACGTACGCCGATAATACAGAGTCCCATGCTAAATGAGATGAAATATAAGTGAACTAAGTACATGTACAATAATTTTGTAGAATATGATATGACTGTACTGTCTGTTAATGAACTTAAATTGATATAAATATATTATAGGGATGTGAATAATGATATGATGGAACTACAGATTATAGCATATGCCTGTAAGACAAGTTCAGCAAGGAGGGTAGTTGGGGTAGTGCCATATATACCATATTCTAAACAGAGCAAAATGAGAAAAAGAGGTTCCATTGTGTGTAAACTTCTCGCTAAAATGCTTAGCACATCTGGTGAGTTACTTAGCACATTTGGCATTTTCTTTTTTATTGGTAGTGACTGAAACATTTGTTATATGTGACATTTTTTAAGTGTTTTTTAAGAACCATTATTTAAGTCCTCTATACTGTATGTGACAGAAAACGATATATATAAATCCTCAAATAAATAACTGACAGTGCATGATATTTTTACCTAGAAATTACTTCCATGTTTATTGGATTCATGCTGCTGCACCTTCTGGTTAAATGTCAATTTCATACATGTAGGTTACAGTAATTTTTTATGCTTGTTTGTTTTATTTGGGACTAGGAAATATATTTATGCTTGTAACTTCAGGACTACAAAATCTGCCCATGGTTTTATTAGGACTAGAAAATTAACTCATGCTTGTTATTTCAGGATTAAAAATGTATTTATGCTTGTTACTTCAGGACTATGTATTTATGCTTGTTAATTCAGGACTATGCGTTTATGCTTGTTAATTCAGGACTATGTGTTTATGCTTGTTATTTCAGGACTTACTCACATTATCACCATTGATCTTCACCAGAAAGAAATCCAGGGCTTCTTTGACATACCAGTTGATAATCTCAGAGCTTCACCATTCCTTATAGAATACATTCAGGGAACGGTAAGTACAACCATCAACCACCTGAATTTGTGTAATGGACTTGCCCAGGTTTGAATTAGGAACAGTCCATTTGAAAATGTTAGGGTTTCAGTATTAAAATACAAAAGTTAAGCTACCAACAGTATAGATCTTGGTCAGGCTGTACAGATGTGCAGGTTGGCCTGGCTCTATACTTGTGGTATTAGGTCTAGCTGGTTAAGTTCATGATAATAAGAGGCAATAATGGTTGTTTGATCATAACATGTTAAGAGGATAAATAAGGGAATAAATTGATGAGGCAAACAAATATTTGAGGAGTAAGTCAGAGAAAATTTGGAAATTAAATCATATGAAAGATTGTACATTATAGTCAATATTTAAATCCTTTCTTATCATATAGTCTTATTTGTTTCGTGTATAAAATAATATGCATGAGGGTTTAAAAGAAGTTTTTTGGGGGGAATGAGAAACAAGATAATATTTTTAAAAGAGTTTATACTTTGTTCCAGATTACAAGTGATGTAATAACTGACAAAAATGAGAATTTATGTTTCTAATCAAACTTTAGATTAGCATTATAGTAATGTGAAGGGAAGCCTTAATATGTTTGACCTAACCTATTGAATTTGTGTAATGAATTGGCACAGATTTGAAGTAGGAACAGCCTAGCCAAATTTTATCAAGATACAAAAATGGAGCTACCAACAGTATAGAGCCTGATAAGACTTCACCATTGTGCAAGCTGGCCTGGCTCTATACTGGTGGCAGTGGCTAACTACATTTCGTTTGAGCAGGTTACTGGTTAGACTTTGACTATTATATAATAATTTACAAAATTTAGATTCCAGATTTCCGTAATGCTGTGATAGTAGCTAGAAATCCTAACTCGGTTAAGCGTGTCACTTCTTTTGCTGAGCGTCTTCGTCTGAGTATCGCTGTAATTCACGGCGAGGAAAAAGATGAAGATGAGCCATGTGATGGCAGAACCTCACCACCACCTGTAATGCAGGAGGCGGACTTTGGTCTACATTCTATACCTGGTATGTTTTAATATTTTGAAATCTTTCTGTCTGGTTACTGTAATAGTACTCCTAAGATCAGAGGTTGTTCCTTTTATTAAACTGGAAATTCATGTTTTTGAGATTGATAAAATACAGATTGATTCAGCCTGAAATTATGTAGCAATATATTATAATAATTACTTTAGAACGTAAGGTAAAAAAAAAAATGGGATTACATATCACTTCTGGATTTATAAGGTTTAGACATTTATTAAACAAATTGTTAGGATTTATGTGTAATGTATATGAGTAGAAAAAGTTTTGATGGTTCACAAACACAGGAATACTGCATAAAATTATATACATTTCTGATTTTCTGTAACCTTTGACCTGCTGAATTTCTTAAATTAACTTGCGCATTTTGTCTGTTTTTGGAACTGTCCATTTTCAATTTGGGTAGATCAGTGTGAAAATATGAAGTTAGAAAATGGTAAATAGCTTGGCCATTTTGCACAGATGTACAGACTGGCTTGTCTTATTCATTCAGACTGGCCTTTGTTCTATACTGGTGGCAAAGGTTAATCACTGTCAGTTCCAGCAGGTCAGGGGTTAAAAAAAAACTGTGTAACATTTTCACCATGCATTGGAAATGGACAGATAATAAATAAAAATTATTACCTAATTCGACAGTAACATACTTGTTGGGAAATGAAACGAATGTGTTGCTATACGTCTTAATTGGCATTGTTACGTAGTAGAAATTTAGTAAGGAATGACTGCTGGCTTTTAGATGGTTCCGCATGATCTGTTGTGCATATGCAACTCTCGGCTAAAGCTTTGTGATTTAGATTATCTGCCTGCTCATTAACATATTGGAATGACAATTGGTATTGCAAGGTAGGGGAAAGTCAGTCAGAAAATATAATGTTGATGAGAAGTGGATAGAAATTTCACCTGCTGAATTTGTGTTTTGGACTCGTCCAGCTTTCTTATTTGGAACTGTCAATTATCAAATTATAGGGATATCAAGATGAAAAACTTAAGGTGATGAGACAGTTGCAAAGTTTGACCAGACTGTATACTTTACTTTTGGTTGCCTCTTTAAAGCATTATAAAATCCCTAAAACAATTATTAGACAAATCCCATCAGTAAAGCAGTGCAAGTCCATAACACAAATGCAGCATGTTTAAGGGGGTTAATGGGATGTAATGAATTAGGAACTGTTCATTATCAAATTTATAGTTTGTAACCTTACAGCAAGGGTATTGTAATTTCCTTTGTACTGCCCATGGCTTTTTAAACTGATACATGCCCTAGAAAAATATAGATTTTACTGAGATTTTAAATATGCTGAAGTTAATGGAAATCAGTTTTTCCCTTTTTTGTTCAAAAAACTGGAAAAGGCTTGTATTAGAGCATATTCTGAAAACAAGTAGCTGTGTTCAGTTTTCTTTTTAAGTAAAACCCTTAACAGTGGAAGTAATGTAAAAGTTTGGTCACCAAATTGCAGGTAGTTTAAGCCAGTTAGTGGGACTGATGTTGCCATATGACCAAAAATATGCAAGTATCAGTGTAATAAACCCTGATAAAAAGAACAAATTTTGGCTTATTGTCTAGATAATGTGAAATTATGTGTAATACATCATGTAAATTTTTATAAGTTTAGCATTATTAAATGTAGGTCAAATATTAGAAGGAGTATAATATACATTTAAAGAAACAAGTTTTTTGTCAGTTACACTTTTGTAATAAAATCTTATTTTGATTAAGATAGAAATAAAAGATGTTTTGATAATTATATATTCACATAGGTAAAACAGTTCAAGATTATTCTAAAGTTTAGGATTTCTAGATTTAAAGAGACATAAACATGCACATGTATGTCTACATATACCATGTACAATATGGCTTGATGCAGAATTTTTAAAATGTTATCTGCTGAACAAAGTGTTTTGTTAGTTTTATTTACATTTTCTTGTTTTTACTGGATTTATATAGTCAAACTGTTTGCTTATTGTATTGCATCATATAGAAACTATTTATAGCATGTTAGGTAACTCATGTGTCCTGTTTCAGATTCAGATCAGGGTAAACAGTTACACCCCTTGCCTGCTGCCGAATACAGCAATTCAACATGTAAATGACCTAGTTTGAGGTGTATTAATAGCATGCTTGACTAGATGGTTCAAAATTTTTGCTAATTTTCATACAGTATATTTTTGAGCTAAAATTTGAAGCCTAGATAAGATTTAGCTGATTTATCGCGATTATTTAGAAGCTCTTTTTTTTACATTATGATATTTTTCTTTAAATGATTAACAACTTTGACATTTTATGGCAAAGCATTATCTAATTATTACAAGAATTTATAATGCTACTAATACTTGAGTTGAGTAATTTTCTAGGGTGAATATTTCCTAACGTCATTCATTTGAGTTTATTTAAAAGATAAATGTGACTTGTATTTTAGCAAACTGAAAATTTTATATCCAGTGTTTTCCTTCTTACCTGTCTTAAAAGGACCTAATTTAATCCTAAATCCAACATATAAACTTGCCCTATCTGTGAGTTTAACCAGAAGTACACCTGAAGTTCATTTGAATATGATCAATTTCCCCCCTTTGTGGTGGAGGGATTGCCTTTAGGGGTTGAGGCATCAAAATTGTAGAGATTGTTTAACACTGTGTGAGTGTTAAAGGCTACTAAATGGGTTCAAATTACTGGAGTCTATGCATCTCTTAGTTCCAGCAGGTGAGGTGGTTTTAACCCCTGGTGTTGCTTTAAGTTTGTAACACCTGAGGTTAGCCAATGGATTTTTTTTTCTCTGTGAGCAAATATCTCCCTCTGCAAAAAAGTTTGACTTGAGCTAGAGTCTTCATATTTAGACATGATACTTGTGGAATAGAACTTTATTTTGATGTTTAAAAATATGAAATTGACCCAAAAATAACCTTGACATTTAAGATCAAATATTCAAGATTCAGGACTTTTCACCTTAACGTTGTTAATTGTGTTACTATGTTTTGCAAACTTGCATTGTTTCATTTGAAGGGATCATACCAGTCATTCCTGTTTTTCTGTTTTCCTTGAAAAGAATTTGTTTTTGTTGATAATTAATAATTCCTTCTAACCTTTTTCATAACAAAAATATTATTTGGAAATAGAAGTGATAACTAATTTGTATGGACCAAATATTGCTAAAAAAGTAAGATGTTTTTTTGATTAAAAGTTTTTTTTTGTTTTTGTTTTTTTGACATGTATGAGTGGAGTTTATTGATATTTTGTGATTTTGATTTTTATATACCATGTGTGGATTTCTTTCAGCAGTATTTAAACAAAATTATTGTTGCAGTGAATTCTTAGAGCAGTCATTAATAACCAATGAAATCGTATATTGTATGGAAGCTTATCTATATGATGTTTTTTATGGCATATTGTAGCTAGCACAAGGCACAATATTACTAATTTGATACAGAACCAAGGAACAAGTTATTGTTTTGACAATTGATTGCACGGCCAAAATGCTGCCAAAATTTAATTTGTGGTTTTTTTTTTGACAATTAAACAAGTTACATATTTTTCATATTGATAATGTACATTTGTTGTTTTGCATACTGGGCAAATTGCCATTGCACTAATGGCAAAATGAGGAATTATCATATGCCCTAAAAATATATATTTCAAATGTGCCATGAATTTTAACTGTAAAGCTGATAAACAGACTTTTATTTGCGTCATAACTCTTTCATATTTACCTTGCTAAAACTTATGAACCCCTGAAATATTTTCATAAACCAAACTTCGATAGACAAGCTGTTTTTCTTAAATTTGCTACATTACAATCACAAAAGTTAAAGCAAACACATGCACAGATATATTTTTAAGATTTTATTTTGTTTTATCAGAATTATGTTTTACCAGAATTATGTTTTAATGTATGCAAATAGAATTTATTAACTGACTTTAAATTGTGTGTGTGTTCAAAAATAATTTTCCTCCAAGTCTCATTTCTATATTCTCGTGTTGTGCATGGGACAATGTTGCTTGGCATTGGCAAATAATAAATTTTGATATTTATAAAAAAAAGAAAGATTGCAGCATATCATACAATAAAGTTGACGCAAATGATAATATAATAGTTGGCACAAAAGATATCCGAATTTGGCGCACTTGATATGGCAGTGTTATCGCAGTTTACTGAACTATTACCAAATTCTATATGTCATCTTTTGTAATGATTGGATTTCATTATTTCCAAAAAAAATTCACCCAAATTTAAAATCAGTGTAAAATATTTGTGTCAAGACTTGGAGCACAAAATTTTACCAAATTTGGTATTTTCCTGTCTAATATTGACAATGACTTTTCATTAAGTGCTTGCTGTTATATTAGGTATATGCCTGTGTTTACTGTGTAAAGCTTAGCTAGCCTTCACTGCTATACAATATGACCAGACCCTATACAATAAAGCATGTCATTATTGGTAAGCTCAATTCTCAACATTGGAAAATGACAAAGCCTGAAAGGTCATTTAAAATGCTGAAAATTACCTAGTGGTCAAGTTATGTTGTTGAATGAAGAAAACAACAACAAACAACTGTATAATTTTTAGTTATTTTGTGAAAAAACTTTCAATTCACCATATTGATAGATAAAAAAGAACTTATTCATTTCAAACTATAATTTGGACTAAATACCTTTTATCTAAGCCATACATGTGCATTTTTTCCTTGGGGACAAAAATGCTCCTGACCCCATATCCATTAAATGAACATTGGATATTTCATTACATAAAGCATAAATTGGTTTTAACTCTACCACAAATCAATAGCAATTTAGAAGATATATATTTTATAGCTTTCTTATAGAAATTTATCATTATAGCATTGCTTGTTTTCATTGTAATAAACTAAGCATTATGTACATATATAATGCATACATTCACAGATATTTACATTGCATTGTTTCATATAAAACATCATCTATGCTCTGAAGAAATTTCACATTGCTCAGCTCGATGCCAATTTTTTTATACATATATATCACAGGCTTACATTTAACCCTTTCCTAGACAGTAGACTTGTTCTATGTCAGACTATATATATAGGGTCTTCTTGTGTGATATCTAATATATAGATTGCTCTCCCCTTGTTGATAAAATTTTCTTTCATGTACATTATATCATTAGCTAAATTCAGAATTTTATTTGCTGGTTAGCGGGGCTATGTTTTTAAAAGCGTATTATGTAGGAATTAATGTTTATTTTGATACTACAGGTGCAAGAGGGAGAAAAGTTCGAAGTATGTACATATAATATATCTAGAGAGAAAGACTTGTCTAAACTGGCTGAATATTAACAAAGCACATGTTATGCACATATAAGCCTTCCATAGTTGCTTCTGGGTGCATTGTTTCTATATTTGTATAAGGCATTGGAGTAATCACTCGTGTAAACAATATAGAGATCTTACACAGGCTGCTAGTACAGATGGGAATATCTAGCTCGAGGGTAACTGTTTATGGCGGTAACGAGACTCTGCAGATTAACAGTTACCCAAGAGCTAGATATTTCCATCTGTTAGAACAGCTAGTGTTTGATTGTTTTCTTGCATATTACATTTTCGTTACATTCCGAAAAGCAATTATAAAAACTTATATTTTTTGTTTAGCGCTTTTTCTTATAGTAGCGTATGAATTTACAACTTATTCATAACAGCACAATGATGTCATCCTGGCATCTGGAAATGGCGTCATTTAAGGCACGTGACTTGTTTTACATTGTGGAGTGTAGGTTTTTTTAGCATGTTGTGTAAACAGTAGATAATCCTGTCTCATATGCAAGAATATGATTAGATATACAATTCACCTTAAACCTGCTGAATTTTTAAGATAAATTTGCCCTGCATTGAATTTGGAACAGCCCATTCAAAGTCTGAGGGATTTCCATTTTAAAATAGAAAAAATTGAGCTGCAAACGTTAAAGAACCTGGTCAGACTGCATTGAAGTGCAGACTGGGCAGGCTCTATACAAGTGCAGGGCCTTTTTACCATTCTTTGCTGTAGCCTGTATCAGGCTACGTCCCCAAGCCAAATTACTACCTTTTTTCCCAAAAAACAGTCTAAAATTCCCCTTCTGGCAAATATTTCCCCTTTAACTGAAGAATAAAACTTGTAAACAAACTTTCTTGTTTAAAAATAGATAATTGTTTTGTCCAATGAAAGCTAATAATTCAATAACCCAATAGAGCCTGAGGGATACCTTGATTTAATACAATTGATGTTAACTCAGAGCCTCAGTCTGAGTTTGCAACTTTCTAAAAACAGCATGGGAAATCCCTGCTGCCTTATTTTTTAGTGCACATGTGAAGTGTTACAACAATATGGCGACCAATACGATGTCACTAATGTAAACAATGTCACAGAACAAGAAGAAAATACGATTGAGTGACGTTTGTAATTTTGTTTATTAAAAATTGGATGAATTGACGACCTTGTTAGTGCTAGCCCATGTGTCCGAGTCGCACAACATGCCCAACTGTCGGAAATAGCGAGCCTAGCACATCAGTGCCAGTAATACAGTGTAAACTGATTATAATGTACCCACTGAATCAAACCAAGAACCCTCACATGACCAATGTAAAAAACTATAAATAGGAAATATGAGTCAATATAAAGGGGCAATAAATTGATCTGTAAAAAATGTCTTTTACTCCTTTTGGACAAAAAGCTTAGTGCTATAGTAAACCTTAAATGTGATTGGAGGAAGATATGCAAATAGATTATGATATTCCCCCGAAATGTGTGAAAATATGATATTTTCCCCAAAAGTGTGAAAATCGCGCATTTTTTCCCCACAAAAAGGGCTAGGGCGCCTTCCCCAAAACTAGTGAAAAGGCCCTGAAGTGGCAAAGGCTCACTTCAGGTTCCAGCAGGGTACAGGTTAATCATAACAAAAAAAAAGTAACATTTCCAGTGTACGGCAAAGGCTTCTATACTAGGATGATGATTTTGGTGTTTACGGTAACTACCTTTGTTATGCATACTAAATGTCTAGTTTTCACACCTGGCTAGTACGTAAAACGCTATACCGCAAATCCTGTTGGTTTTTAAAAGTTCTGTTTAAGCAGGTGGCAGTAATGTATTATGTATATATTTAACTTTGCTTTTTATCATGCATGAAAAAAATACCTTTATAAATTTTTGAAAAGGTCTTACTTATGTTTAATTACCCAAATTGTAATGTATGTTTCTTACTATTATTCTTGTTTACAATTTGAAACTTTCATACTCTATCTTGTAATAGTCCAATATAATTTCTGCATTGGATACTGGTATTTGAAACATATTTTCATATTGTACTCAGCTGGTATTAAATTGACTGTATATGTCCCCTACCTTTCTTATTCTGATTATCAAATTCATTTTCGATCCTATGTTATACAGAGGTAGAGGATTTTTTAAACCCAAAATTGACATTTTTTACTAACAACCTTCATCCAGTAGAACCTACCGATAATAATTTAGTTCAGATAAACAATTTCCTTTCCAAATTGTAAGTAGGATCAGTACATGTTAAAAATTTAACATGGTAAGGAATAAAAGTGCCTTGCTTATGCAACTTGGTGTAAACCATATCATTACTGGGAATGTAAAAAAACAAATATTATTTTAGGTGTGCTATAGTGTAATTATGACAGGAGTATTGGTTTGTGTACAAAATGTGTATCATACAAAGCACCCAGTCAGTTATAACTTATAACCTAACAATCCCCCTCCCCTCAACCCCTACCCCTCTTACCCATTCGACTCCTTGACTGAAAGGAGCCATGTATTTCTTCTCTATGTGTCTCTGTTCTGTCAAGGTAATTTGTTTGTGAGTTTTGGCATCAAAATATTAGAGGATAAGTGTAATATATAGTATCACAATATTAAGGAACACTTGGCCAGTGGCCTTTTGTAGATCAATTACTTGACATTTATTGATATATTTCCTAGATTTGCAGTCTTTATGTCTGAATGAAAAAAATATTTCTGCCATAAAGATCAGTTTTACAAAAAAAAATTCAAACATTTTCTCATACAAAATATTATATGCTTCTTAACAAATTTTGAGAAGTAATTACGAACAGTGTTAGAAAATTATTCTTGTTGTAATGTTATAGTATGTTAAATATTTCATTTTTCAGCAATACTTGCCAAAGAGAAGCCACCATTGAATGTTGTAGGAGATGTTGGTGGGAGAATAGCAATCATTGTGGTATGTTGATAAAATATCATATAGTATAAAACAGCCATAAAGTTATTTTAATTACTTAGCAAGGAATGTCTCAAAATATCACAAAGTTTTTGTACTTACTGTATAATAGTGTTTTTTTGTAGTAACTTAGCAGGCAGTGTCTGTGGAGGTCACTTACTTTAAATTTACTTCACCATCACTGCTGTTAGTTTGAATCCCACCAAGCAATCAGGATTCTTTCATGCTATTATTAATGAAGATATCCAGCTATTTTGTGGAAGGTCAGTGGTTCAACTCTTGTGTCTGTTTTAGTCTGAAATAATGGTAAGAGAGGCATGAAAGTCATTATATGATCTTTGCAGTGTCTGAGTGAATGAAAAAAAACAAGACCAAAAATGTATGTCGACAGTTATGTATGTGATTTGGAACACAGGTTTCGGCGTTTTCATTGGTCACTAGCTTCTTTATCTCCAAACCTTTCCCAAAAATCAAAACTGCAGTGATTTGTATGTAACATAGTAACATTATGATAAACTATCAAAAAAATATTTTGTGAAATTACTTTAATCTTTATAAGCTGTTTGTTTCGAAGAAAACGTCAAGTTATAATGATTGCTGCATCGTTGTCATAATTGGTGTCATGAAAAAAACTTTAATGTAGCCTATTCTTTAAACATTTCAAAAGTTATCCACATGAAACTTGGAATACTTGCTTATCCTGAAAAGGTGCAGTTAGGCGAGGGGCATAATTCTGAAAGCAATACTTTTTGAGTTTTGCCCCTTCTTATTAGACGAGTGATAACATCGCTCTTGTTTCCTATTTTATAATTCAGAAATTGTGATTGTTTTATTTTAGGATGATATGATAGATGATGTAATGTCATTTGTGAAGATAGCCGAGGTGTTGAAGGAACGAGGTGCTTACAAGATCTACGCAATGGCAACACATGGCCTGTTATCTTCAGATGCTCCACGTCTTATAGAAGATTCCTGTATAGACGAGGTATCTTTGTCTTTTATATCCATTACTATCTTTAATGTGATTGTCAGATACATGGAGACTTCAAACAGACAGTTTTTGAATTTAAAGTAGAGCAAATCTAGTGCACAATTCATCAGTTATAATACTATATATACATTTATCACATAAACTACAGGGCAGGAGTGTAATAAAGCCATGTAATAAAAATTATATTACACTAGTGTAATAACACCATTTGGGGTATATGCAAACATAGCGTTAAATTGCACTGATGTTAGCGTTTGCACAATAGGGGCATCAAATTAATGTTCTTATTTAGGATATGTGATAAATAGAATATTATATTCATGTAGATTCAATATTAAATATATTTTACTTGTTGATTAAAACAGTATTATTGTCACTAGAGGCTCACATATTATGATTTTATTGTGTCGCCTTGAAAAGTTGACATATAGGGGTTACTTTTGTTGGTGGCGTCTGTGTCGGCGTCGTTGTCAGCGTCCCCTTAAGCTTGTCCGGAGCATAACTCAATCACTATAAGTCTGAATGACTTCTTACTTGGTATGCATGCTTCTTTCAATAACCCGAAGTGCAGTGCACAAGGACCGGTACTCTGCAGTTCTTATTTTTTGAGTTATTGCCCTTTGTTAATTTTCATACTTTAATTTTGTCCGGGCCATTTCTCTTCAACTAAAAAAGCTACAGTTTTGAAACTTCATAGGATGATAGATCTCATTATTAAGAAGTGCAGTGCACAAGAACAAGTACTCTGCACTTCATAATTTTTGAGTTATTGCCCTTTGTTAATTTTCATACTTTATTTTTGTCCGGGCCATTTCTCCTAATGTATAAAAGCCATGGACTTGAAACTTCATAGGATGATAGGTCTCATTAAGAAGAAGTGCAGTGCACAAGAACTGGTACTCTGCATTTCTTATTTTTTTGAGTTATTGCCCATTGTTTATTTTCATACTTTAATTTTGTCCGCGCCATTTCTCCTTAAGTATAAAAGCTATGGACTTGAAACTTCATAGGATCTCATTATTAAGAAGTGCAGTGCACAAGAATCGGTACTCTGCATTTCTTAATTTTTGAGTTATGGCCCTTTGTTAATTTTCATACTTAATTTTTGTCCAGGCCATTTCTCTGAAAGTATAAAAGTTATGGACTGGATGATAGATCTCATTAAAAAGAAGTGCAGTGCATAAGAACTGATACTCTGCAATTCTTATTTTTGAGTTATTGCCCTTTGTTGATTTTCTTACTTTATTTTTGTCCTGGTCATTTCTCCTCAAGTATGAAAGCTATGGACTTGAAACATCATAGAATGATAGATCTTATTGATAAGAAGTGCAGTGTATAGAAACTGCTGCTCTGCACTTATTATTTTTTTAGTTATTGCAATTTGTTATTTTTCATATTTCATTTTTGTCCTGGCCATTTCCCCTAAACTACATTGTTCACAAGGCGACACATCCGACTCGCGGAGTTCTAGTTTACTTCATATTATTATTTTATTGATTTAGTATTTAATCTACACTCATTCAATATCCTATGTATAACCTTGCCAGAGCCTCGCATAATATGATTTTATTCAAATACGTTCAATAAATTTAGTATTAAATTTACACTTATTCAATATCCTCTATGTATAACCTATACTTTAATTTGATGATTTATGTCATTTATTTATTTCCTCATGTCATCAGGTTGTAGTAACAAACACAGTTCCACATGAGATTCAAAAGATGCAGTGTCATAAGATAAAGACCGTAGATATAAGTGGAATGTTGGTCGAGGCTATACGTAGAATACATAATAACGAGTCAATGTCATACCTGTTCAGGTATATCGGAATGGACGATTGAGCACGCAATCTGGTCGTCAGGGAAACAATTTTTTTTGTCTCATTACGTACAGAAGATACAGATCTCTTAATATGAATAGTCATTAGTTCAAGGAAAAACTAAGTTGTGAAAAGATTTTTAATGAATTAGTTTTGAACTATTGTTATGATAATTTTGACAGGTCAGATAGACTTGCTTTATCATGTAAGATTTTTTTTTGTCGATGAAAAATGGCAGTGGTAGCCCGTAATTAAAATGATATGTTGAGTTATATTTGTAATCTGGTTGTGACAGGAAACAGTTATTTAAAAAAATCAAAATGTAAAAGGGACTCCACTGACGTTTTTTGACATTATGGGACTGAAAATAAATTTGCCGTGATTTATGTACCATTTGATTTAGGTCTAGATCAATGGCTTGTGTGCAAAATTTCAGATCATTCGCCCACTTTGTTTTTCCAGAATATTAGTTCCAATTGTTAAAAAGGAATTAAACCTGAAAGCATTGCAATGCTTTTTACTCAAATCAGACTAAGAATAACTAAAAAAATACGGTTTTCAATATATTTCTAGAATCTTTTGTAAATCTATCTGTTTAAAGTGTCCCAGCCAGTCTCTGTAAGAAGTTATTTCATTTTTTTTCATTTTTTTTTTAAACTTGTACCTCAGAAGAGTTCCTTCAACTTTTGAAAAATGTTAGGATATTCATGTTCTGTTATTTAAAAAAAGTTTCATTAAAATCTATGAGGTTAAAGGTCTAAGTGTACAAAGGTTGGTACTTTGTATTTCGATATTATTAAAGCATTATTTTATGTTTTAATGCAATAAACAGTAATATTACCATTATGATGTCTAGTTTAATAAGTTTGACTTCTTTCATTCCATGTAATCATATGACTTATTTTGCTCAAATGAAATCAAATTTTTCCTAAATTCTTAAATGAGGTAGTATTTTACAAGGTTTGAAGTTAAGTTTTTTTTCATAATCGCTTATATTATTGTTGGGTTATTATTTATTAATTTTCATATCAGGATATGATATTTCTATCAAAAGTGAAGAATTCGTAAAATAATGACTGCAGTAAATATGGTTTGTTATGTTAATTTATCTTGTTTTTTATGCCAATTTTACGTTTTTGGTCATATCTCGACAGTAAGTCCACCTATAACCATCTTGCCTTGAAAACTAACCAATTTCTTTGCATGTGACAGCAAATGCTTTGAAATGGTACTATGTGTGAGAAAATTAGATTTTGGCCATGGTTCTAACTAGAAATATAATATATTTCATGTCATGAAATTGGCATTGAAATCTTGTACAGTAATTTGTCATAACGGATCTGATACGGGAAAATCTTGTTGTAGATATGATACGGGAAATGTTATTGTATCTTTTTATAGAAGAAACAGAATGGGAAAAATTGTTTTGTATTGTATGTAAGTTTTTCTGTTAATGTATAAATGAGAAGTTTTATTTTGTTATGTATTTAGTTAATTGATTCTACATTATGCTATCATTCTTATATTTCAGTTTTATTTTCAAATGTTGTTAACAAATATTTGATGGTGGATTAATGATTATTTAGAAATGGAGTAATGAATATTTGATTATGGTGTTATTTGATGAAATTTGTGTTTTGTGAGCCGTTTTATAATCTTTACAACTTTGTTATTAATTGTTGTAGTTGTAACAAGTATAAAATTAAAGTGTCAATTAATTTGAGTGAGGGGTAAAAGTGGTGTAGTTGTAGAATCTTGCATATCAACTGTATTTTCTAGCATTTGATCTGGTACTTACAAAATCTTATCATACATCACCAAGTGTAAATTGAGTTGCATGCTTTAAAATGACATTGTTTCATTGCCTTTATAAACAGGTTGTGTGCTTGTGATGACTTCGTTCCCCTGTGCTGGTATTTTCTTTTTGAATGATAATTGTTAGGTAATATGCAAGAAAAAGAATGAAACACTGGATGTCATCACAGGCAGGAATATCCGGCTCTCCTTGAAAAAAAAATGATAGGGTTGTACCTTTTGCTTTAGATATTCCTGTCTACACCAGCATCCAGTGTATTATTCCTATAGAATCAAACTAGTTATTCAGCGGAGGATTGAACGAGGAGTACACTTTAAAAACTGTCCTAATACCTATGTTCTGGACAGAATTGAAATGTTTCTCTCAGATCTCATACTATCAAAGTTGTCCCAAGGATGCAATGTCTCTTTCTCAGACAATCTTGGCTTGTAAAAAAACAGATTTTATTGAAATTCTTTTCATTTGATAAATTTACAGAAAACTCTGCAATGACTTTAGAGCAATGATAATAAACTTTCACGGAGTGTCAGATTTCAATATACTAGTACATGTATATTTTTCTATTTTGTTGTTTCGAAAAGCGGAAAGTAAAAAATTTTCTTTTGAATAAATGTCCTTATTTTGCATTATACATATGTAAATTACAGTCAGCTAATGTTTTTGTTTAATTATTTAATATTTTATTTGAGATTTGCCATTAAATGCCCAAATATTACAATTTTTTATAATTTTGGCCCATTTTTGAATATTTAAATTTTAAAAATTACATTTGTCATTATTTTTTATCATTTTATATTATTCATTCACATGGTGTTGATAGGTATGATAAACAATTTTGGATGGATGACTATGATCTCTAGCCATCTGGTTAGCTCAGTAGGTTGAGTGTTTGACTTTGAAATGGGTGACCCAAGTTGGATTCCCAGACAGTGCAGGTCAATTTTGTTGTGATTGATCATTAAATCCTTTCTTAGATCATTTGCACTGTACCTCTGCTCTGGCATGTACAGAGGTAATCAGTTCCTTGCGAAAGTGAAGGTAACTTTTACTGGCAAAGTGTTTGACAGCATGCCCTGGGTTAATGCAGTGGCTGAACTGTGCTCTGGTAAATTCAATGTGGCTTACTGCCCTGATCTGGAGTGAAAACTACCAACACCACCACCCCACTATGGTCTATGGTCGACCATAGCCTTTATTTATTTCATAGATGTACTGAATTTTTCAGTATAGTCTTTATTGAATAGATATTCTTTTCGAATCTCAAAAGATTTGAGGTATTCTACAAGGTTTATTATACCCCCACAAACGAAGTTTAGGGGGGGTATATAGGAGTCAGCTTGTCGGTCGGTCCGTCGGTCGGTCGGTCGGTCGGTCCACATCATGGTTTCCGGACGATAACTAGAGTTTGGAATGAGGTATTGTAATCAAACTTGGTATATAGCAACCTTATGTGGAAACTCCGGTTGGTAATGCATTTGGACCCCCTGGGGTCAAGGTCACCGTTTCTAAAAATAGAAAAATGGTTTCCGGACAGTAACTAGAGTTAGGAATGAGATATTGTTATCAAACTTTGTGTATAGCAAGCTTATATGAAGACCTGGGTTGGTATTGTATTTGGACCCCCTGGGGTCAAGGTCAAGGTCACCGTTACTAAAAATAGAAAAATGGTTTCCGGACAATAACTAGAGTTAGGAATGAGATATTGTTATCAAACTTGGTGTATAGCAAGCTTATATGAAGACCTGGGTTGGTATTGCATTTGAACACCATTGGGTCAAGGTCACCGTTACTAAAAATAGAAAAATGGTTTACGGGCAATAACTAGAGTTAGAAATGAGATATTGTAGTCAAAATTGGTGTATAGCAAGCTTATATGAAGACCTGGGTTGGTATTGTTTTTGGACCCCTGGGGTCAAGGTCACCGTTACCAAAAAAAGAAAAATGGTTTCCGGACAATAACTAGAGTTAGGATTCCGTCCGTCGGTCCGGTCCCACATCAAATGGTTTCCGGACCGATAACTAGAGTTTGGAATGAGGTATTGTAATCAAACTTGGTATATAGCAACCTTATGTGGAAACTCCGGTTGGTATTGCATTTGGACCCCTGGGGTCAAGGTCAAGGTCACCGTTACTAAAAATAGAAAAATGGTTTCCGGACAGTAACTAGAGTTAGGAATGAGATATTGTTATCAAAAACTTTGTGTATAGCAAGCTTATATGAAGACCTGGGTTGGTATTGTATTTGGCCCCCTGGGGTCAAAGGTCAAGGTCACCGTTACTAAAAAATAGAAAAATGGTTTCGGGACAATAACTAGAGTTAGGAATGAGATATTGTTATCAAACTTGGTGTATAGCAAGCTTATATTGAAGACCTGGGTTGGTATTGCATTTGGACCCCCTGGGGTCAAGGTCAAGGTCACCGTTACTAAAAATAGAAAATGGTTTTACCGGACAATAACTTGAGATAGGAATGAGAATATTGTAATCAAAAATTGGTGTATAGCAAGCTTATATGAAGACCTGGGTTGGTATTGTTTTGGACCCCTGGGGTCAAGGTCACCGTTACCAAAAAAAGAAAAATGGTTTCCGGACAATAACTAGAGTTAGGAATGAGATATTGTTATCAAACTTGGTGTATAGCAAGCTTATATGAAGACCTGGGTTGGTATTGCATTTGGACCCCCTGGGGTCAAGGTCACCATTCCTAAAAATAGAAAAATGGTTTCCGGACAATAACTTGAGTTAGGAATGAGATATTTTAATCAAAATTGGTGTATAGCAAGCTTATATGAAGACCTGGGTTGGTATTGTTTTTGGACCCCTGGGGTCAAGGTCACCGTTACTAAAAATAGAAAAATGGTTTCCGGACAATAACTAGAGTTAGGAATGAGATATTGTTATCAAACTTGGTGTATAGCAAGCTTATATGAAGACCTGGGTTGGTATTGCATTTGGACCCCCTGGGGTCAAGGTCAAGGTCACCATTCCTAAAAATAGAAAAATGGTTTCCGGACAATAACTAGAGTTAGGAATGAGATATTGTAATCAAACTTTGTGAAAAGCAAGCTTATTTGGAGACCCCAGTTGGGATTACAATTAATTGAAATATTTCTTTGTACACAGTTGATAGTTTGTGTTGAAATTTTTCTTCAGACTACTTATTTTTCAAAAAGTTTCTGGTGGGGGTATTAATCACCTTCAGTGATAGGTCTAGTTTGTTTTGTTGCAAAGTTTAAAGGTTTAACAATTACTTGATAACAATTTATGACTATAATTAACACTTATGTTATTTTTTCTTTTAAATTCGCTCCTTTGAATTAAAAATATCTTCTTATACATGTACAATTTTGTCTATATTTGTGTAGAAAAACTATCACATTTTTTTTTTTTTAAAAGTGTTATAATGGGAGATTTTTTTTGCTACTGCAGCTATGTTATAATACAATATAGTTTAAGTAGGACAGGGTACTGGTTCAGACATATTTTGATGTACGTTTCATGTTTAATTTCATCTCATAATTGACCAAATTATTATTGTTGATTATACCTTGTTCAGTTTTAAAGGCATACACATTTTCCGTTTATTGAAATAATATTGTTTGTGTGTTGTTCCAATATGTTATTGATAATAATGAAATGTTTAATAAATTTTGAAATCCTACACTCTTTTTTTAGTTCTTTTTTTTACAATGACTTTTTTTGCTGTGCTGCATTTTGTCTTCAGCAAAATTGCATAACAACTTGGTCTTGTGTAGCAAGATAGTTAAGACTGAAGCGATGTCAAGCCCTTCACAGGATATGGACATGGCAAGACCTTTCTTTTTAGGCAGCAGATGTGCGAGTTCAAGTCCTAGGTTTGATATGTTTTTATGTGACTGCAAATTTTTCACAGTATTTCAAATGCCGTTTCTTCTCAAACTGGGATTCAGGTGATCTTAAATGAGGCTGAAATTTTCTTAAGGAAGAAATAAGGTTATACTGGTTTAAAACTGAGGAACTCCTTAAGGTAGCACCAGCTAGTGTAGAACTGAAGTATTGTAACCAAATTAGAATCACTTGCACCTCACTACTGTGGGTTGGAATATCATTAGGGAATTTCATGTAAGGAAGCTCTTCAGCTAGCTTACAAGTTGTTTGTTATGTTTGGGTGCTTGCTAGTGCCCAAAATAACATGAGAAGGGGTAACAGATGTCTTGCTTAATTTTTGTGAGTGTAACTTAAAAACCAACAAAAAAGTAAAGTATCCAACCTAAATAGACCAAAATGTTTAGAGGTTAACATGGTCTAAGCAAGATATAGTTATTTTCCAGTTTGCCTTGAAATACAGAGCACCAGTCAACTTATCAAACACATTTAGTGAATAGTCTGGTTTCAAATTAACCTGAATATTTATAATCAATATACATTTACATCTACAATACATGTAATAGGAAGACCTCATATAGACTTGGCATCGAAGACACATACTTGTTAAATGACGTTGTTTGGAAAATTTGGTTACAATTTCGTCTTATCTTTGGTTGAACAAAGAACTGGCATCAATGAATTGAGATAATCGGTCTCAACTGAAACAACATACAAATTGAGGAACATTTATTTTTTTCATTTTGATATTTAAACAAGGTATCACAAATATGCTTCAAACATGCAGTAAAACTTGCAGTAAGTACCGATAAAGTAACAGCCCCCCCCCCCCCCCAACAAAAAAACCAAAACATCCAAGATTAAATCATTCAAATAGTATTATTTATGAAAGACTTGGTAAATCCAGTTTATATATATGAACACAATGTTTATGAGCTGCTACTAAAAGCTGATTGGTTGCTGAAAAGCATGTGACTGTGACATCATCAACCGTTGCTAGGAGACCACCAGTGTAAACATTCCACATTCGGATACAGCCATTATTTTGTCTACACAGCAGTAAACCAGCTGACATAATACAGGTACCACTACATCTGAAAGACAAAATAAATATAATGATAATTATGTACATAATAATTAACAGTAATTGGTAAAGTGAACATATAGTAAACTGATACATAACTGGTTATAAATGTTGGATATACTAAAATTAATGGATATAACTTTTGTTTCAGGTTTCACACTGGTTGCTAGTACAGACCAGAATATCTGACTCAATGGTAAGTGTTTAAACCCAAAGTGAGGCTTTGTTGAGTCGCTTCAAAACAGTTACCCTGAGAGTCAGATATTTCCGGCTTATCGAGAGCTAGTGTATGATCCTTTTTCTTGTAAATTGCATAAAAATCATATTCTGTAAAGATATTACAAATGACAAATGTTTTCATTCAGAATTTTTTTTAAAGTAACATATGAATTTGCAACTACATTCATAAAGACAAAATAATGCCATCACTTGCCAGAAAATTATTGTGCATCATACATACAGTGAATATAATTATGCTTTATCACTGTTTATTTTGTCAAAGTGACTTGTTCATATATATATATTTGGTGTGTTTTATATAAAGAAATTTTACCCTGTCCAACTGTCATTTAGGGTAATTGATGATAAGGTCTCTGATGTATTCATACTTGGATTGATCACAACTATTGTTCCAGCCTCGCCACCTTTCTTCTTACTCAGTAGCGGCACAAACAGAAAACCCTGTCAAATTTATGAAAAACATACATTACATTTACCATCACTCTTAACCATTGTAAAAAACATAAGAATCAAAGTACCTGATCACTACTATCTGTAGAATGCATATGTAGCAAAAAACAAGAGCTTTCAGTATAACAGTTTGGTAGACATTTTTCAGTGTGCTTGATAGTAAAACAAGGGTCTGGATAATGTTTAAAGTTCAAAAAGGGCCAAAATTCAGTCAAATTCTTTGTTAAAGTTATGGGCCTTGAAAATTGACCTTCTATAATATTCTGACAAAAGTATGTGAAGTTTCAATCCATTCCCTTCATAACAACTTGCACACAAAAACTTTACCAGAGTGTAATGCTGACATGAGTACAATGGCTCTACTAGCCAAGCTAAAACCCAATCTTTTTTAAACACATGAATTTTTTTTTTTCTGTTGCTCTGTTAGGTTTATGGAACTATTCCATCTTTAATGCTAGGGAATGACCAGGTATGTATTTAAGGGATTCTGCATTTAACAAATTGTAAACAGTTTTAGAAATGACTTTAAATGTCAAATAAGCATACATGATTTGCAATTTCTGTCAGTCTTACAATATGACTATAATCTATAAATGAAATATTTAACATATATAGCATCACTCACCTGTTCAGCAAAACTGATTGAGCAGATAGGATCTGCTGGACAAACATCAGATATATCTACAGATGTTAGCAGATAACCATGCTCATGATTCCTGAAACATCCAAGTTTATACAATTACTAGACAGTACATGTATGTTACATGTTTCTGTTCTTTTTTTCTCTCAGAGAATTACTTGAAAAACATAATAAATAGATCAAATTATATTTGTGAGAAAGAACTTAATATGTCAACAACAGTATGATAAATTGAGTATATAATAAAAAGGTGATTTAAGTTCATTTAACAGTCATTACAATACAGATATATATTTAAACTTGTAAAAATTCACGGTTGACAGGCCTAGTGGCTCACACAGTATGGTTTTCAAATTGAGTGCTCCTCCAAGTATAATATACACAGAACACTGTTAAATAACTTAAAAGTTATAATACATACCATATTTGTATTTCCATAGATTTTGTCAAAGTGAGTACAGCTTCAGGGATACCTCTCACAGGTATCAGGTGTGTTATTTGTTTCTCAGTACTATCTAACTGGACATTTGACCACTGGTCACTATTGATGTCCTGAGTGTATTTGCACAGATATGATTTCTCATCTGTATAGTAACTGACCACAATGAGACGGCTAGACAGCGGACAAACTTGAATGCTGGGAAAACAGAAAAGATATACATGTACTGTTTTATAAACAAACACAAATCATACTGAATTTTCTTAAAAATCTCTTAAACAATACAAAAAGCCAATTAATGTCATTATTTTAAAAAAAAAATCTGAAGCAACATCTGTTTGCTATAATCAATGGAAATGCACGAGAATCATGACTCAATACCAAGATTTAAGGAATGGAATAAGTCGAGTTCATAAAACTCAATCATGCACCACACAGGTTTTCTTGATAAGCTGATGGTCGATGTGAAAAAAACCTTTTTTAATCTAAGTAGTGAAAATAACAGATGCTATAAAACAAATATGAAGTACTGTAACTAAAACAATTATGTATTCCATTGCAGTGTTTGTTTGTATTTCTGGTTTATACCCAAATTTTAACAAATGTTTTTGGTCATATCTATGCAGACAATCCATCTCACCCCATTTCCTGGATAACTAACCAGTAATTACCTATTTCTTCACAAGTGACCAACTACTAAGCCCACATGATTTCTGAATCAGCAGTAAGAGACAAATTATCATTAGACTCTATTACAGGGTATAACAATAATATTTTACCTTTTAGAATACACTTGATCTAATGTCATCTGCTGCCATTTCTCTTTGATGAATGTATAATGATATATACATGTACAATCTGATTTTATACCCAGCAATATCAGTGATACACTGTCTGAATCTGGTAGTAAATACATCAAATTACCAGACTTCTTCTTTGTCTGAAAATAGGAACAATATAATCTGACACCTTATACCATTTAATAAACAAGAGGGGCCATGATGGCCCTGAGGTCGCTCACCTGTACATATAGCCCCCCCCCCCCCCCCCCCCCCCTGGGCCAATTTTTACCCAAGGGCTTTTATTTGTTTATTTGAACAGACTTGGTAGACACCCATAAGAAGATGTTTCATGCTAAACATCTAAGTTCTAGCTCATTGGGTTTTTTAAAAGAAGATTTTTTAAGTTTTTACTATACACATATAGTTGAAAACAATGACACCCCTGGGGCAGGGCCAGTTTTGACCTCCGGGCTTTTATTTGAACAAACTTTGTAGATATTTACTAAAAGATGTTTCATGCTTAATATCTAAACTCTAGCTATTTGGGTTTTTTTTCAAAGAAGATTTTTAAGTTTTTGCTATACACAAACAAGAGGGCCCTTGGGCCCTGGGTCGCTCACCTGAGGCATGGGTGAATGCCTGTATTTAGAGTTTGTGAAGGCAAACATTCTAGTTTCAATTAAACTGGGTGAAAAGTGATCTCAGTTTTACAAAGGTTTCCCAAAGCTCTGATGGGGTGACTTAGTTTCTGAAACTATTTAACTTAGTTTGAAATCTGCACTAGTTTTTT